AACTAGAACAAAGGCGTAGTATTTTCCTCCTAAGCTCATAATATTGCTAGGTCCAAAGAGATCAAGATGCAGGAGTTCTAAAGGTCTATTGGTTGATAGAACTGGTTTTGATTTGAAGGAGGTTTTGATGTGTTTTCCTTTTGTACACGCGTCACAGAAGAATTCTTTCTTACTGTGAATCTTTGGTACTCCTCTGAAAAGATCCAAATTAACCAGTTTTGAGAGAATACCAATACTGATATGACCTAACTTGCGATGCCATTCCAGTTGATCATTTTTGTCAACTGAAATGAGACAAGATTCATTGAAGGCCTTTTCATCATTTAAGTCAATTATGAACAGTTTCCCTCTTCGTTTTCCAGTAAACAGAATTTTCTTGGTTAGGATGTTTTCTACAAAACACCTATCAGGTTCAAATACTACCCTATTTTCCTTCCCACACATCTGACTTATCGAGAGTAAATTGTGTTTTAGTTCCTTGACAAGCATCACATTACTTATAGATGGATTAGATCCTATGGTCCCTTTTCCAAGAATCTCAGTACTGTAATTATCACCGAAATAAACATTACCTTTCTTTCTTAGTGTTAATTCAGTGAAGAGTTGTTTATCTCCAGTCATATGATGTGAGCAACCGCTGTCAAGGATCCAGACGCTGCCTTCCATGCTCACTTGGAGACAGGTCTGCAAAGAGAGAGTTAATTACTTGATTTTTGGAATCCAAACTAATTTGGATTCCTTTTGACCATAGTAATTTCTGTACATTGATTCTCTAGCTTTAGAATAGTGATTTATTGTTCTGTTGGTTCTGTTTTCCTTTGCTATTCGTTTCCTGCAATTACTTATGTGATGACCAAGATGATGACAGTAATGACACTCTATTTTTCTTCTGGAATTGGTCTTGTAGAAGGTCTTTGGTTCTCTCCCTATGTCTATCCTGGTTTTTGACTTCCCCTTTTCTAGCTGTTTCACATTTTCTTCGACTAATGTGAGTTTGTTTCTAAGAATTTCATTTTCCTTTAAGGTGTCTCTTAGGGTTGTTTCCAACTTTTGCTTTTCTAACTTTATTTGTTCATAATCTGACAGAAGACTTTCATATTCAGCTCGAATTCTAACATGTTTTCGTTTAACAATGCTAAATTCATTTTGAATATCTCTTATGGTATCTAGCATCTGATCATCTTCACCACATGAGTCAGAGTAATAAGATCGTACCTGAGAGCCATTGTCGTCTTCAGATTCTTCATCAAGTGCCATGTAGGCTTCCTGGTGTGATTCCTCATCATCTTCTTCCTCACTTCCACTCCAGGTTGCTGCATAAGCTTTCTTGGTAAGAGGACAGTCAGCCTTCACATGTCCCACTTTACCACACTTGTAGCATCCCGATTGCAATTGTGGCCTGTCTCCATCTCTTCTGTTCTTGTATCCAAAGCGATTTCTCTCCTTCACATCTCTGCTGTCTTCAACTTTGTTAGGAGAGCTCCCCTTTCGTTTATCTCTTCTCATCTTCAGTAGTTTAGCAACGTGTTTACTTAGCATTGCTAGCTCATTGTCTTCCATGTCATCTAGAGTTTCCAGTTCTTCTTCGTATAGAGATGCTTTGAACGCGATGCTCCGTTTTTCTTTCCTCGGCTCATCAGCTTCTTCCCTCTTTAACTTCTCTTCGTGGGTTATCAAGGATCCGATCAGTTCATCCAAACTGAGTCTGGTGAGATCCTTTGACTCCTCAATTGCTGTCACCTTCGGAGTCCATCTTTTTGGTAGCGCCCAGAGAATCTTTCGCACAAGATCAGCGCTTGAGTACTCAACTTCAAGATTCCTCAGGATGTTCACTATTGTTGTGAATCGATCATTCATCTCCTTGATCGATTCTTCTGGTTTCATGACGAACGATTCGAAGTCCTGTTTTAAGCTGTTGATCCTGGAGATCTTGACATGAGATGTCCCTTCATGAGCGATTTGCAACTTATCCCAAATCTCTTTCGCTGTTTTGCACCCTGAGACTCTGTGATACTCTTCGGGTCCTAGAGCACAATACATCAAATTCGTCGCCTTCGAATTTAGCTGGAAGTTCCTCTTATCCTCTTCACTCCATTTTCCTCGAACCTGCTTCACTTCAAGAGGACCATCCATTACGATGTCCCACAGATCCGGGTCTGTTGATCCGATGAACAACTCCATCCTGTTTCTCCAGTAGCTGTAATGCACGCCTTCGAAACGCGGAGGTCGCGTCTGAGAGAATCCGTCGGCCATGTAAATTCCACTGCCGTTTCCCAAGCTCGAACTCATCGTCTCCGGAGGTTGTTAAGCCTTCTGTTCCCGGAGCCGGGCTCTGATACCACTTGTTGGTATGAGGTCGAGCGCGAGACCAGGAGCTTTTCCTCTTGATTGTATGACACAGATGAAAACAAATGGGGCCTGGATTATTCGATCAGAATTGTAAGCCCAGTTGCTTAGCCACCAAAGCAGGCCCAAGACTCCTTTAGTCCTGCGTTTTGATTAATGAATCAACTTTGACTGAAGGCCTGTGGACTCGTCTTCTTCCTTCTCCTTTCAGTGAATGAAGTTCCTGTAAGAACAACAAAAGCCAAAACAGAGTACTAGAATAAACAGATTAGTTTCAGAATACTAGATCAGCAGGAAGTAAAAGACGCTCAGCAATTTTTACGTGGTATCCGGCACAGGGAGAATAAGGATCCCTGCACCGACTAATCCACGGTTGAAGTATCTCGGTTTGAGATCTTCAACGTTCCACTAATGATCTTTCTCGTTGAAGTTCACTCTACAATAATTCAGCACACACTCAGCCTACAGCTGAATCCCAGACTAATCAAGGTGTTTGAAGCGAACCCCTGTTCCCAAAAACCTCTATCTAGCCTGCAAGCAATTCCTTGCTCTCTTTTTCTCTCAAAAGCCTATCGTAACTAACCCAGCACTCTGCTTTTGATTGATTGAAAAAGGTTGCCTTTCTCTTGCCAATTGATCCTGTCTTATACTCGTTCTTCAACGTCTCTTTTAGAAACTTGCCTTCTGTAGCTTGGCCTGACAAGGTAAGTCTTCTTGGTTTTGAATTCTTTCCATAAAGCTTTGAGAGTTACTCTGCTTTCCTCGGTTGATTTGAGCCAGTGACTGAGCTTCCTCCAACATTGGCCGGGAGTGAAGATCTGGCCACGACCGCCGCCACGCCCTCCTCCGCCGGAGGAGATGGAGAAGGGAGAGAAGGAAAAAGAGTTTCTGGTAACATGATTGCCGATGAAATTGGTAGGGATTGAAATGCCTCTTCTTCTCATTGCTTGCCCGCAAGGTTTCTTCGATCTTCGGCGCCTGAAATTGAGGGTTTATTGCTCTGGATCTCGTCGCTTTACACAAAATCGGCACAGCTCGAGTGGAGAAGATGGATTGAAAGGGGAAGATGGACGAGGAAGCGGACCAAAGCCCAGATCTATTTCTTGCTCGCCGGTCAAAGAAAGACAATTGTCAGGCGAGTGGGAATGGCGCGGAGAGGAGAGGGGGGATGGCGGCGGGACGGGAGGAGTAGGCGATCGGCGACCGTCGGGAAGGGAGGGGCGGCGGGTTTGTTGGTCTGGGAAATGGGGGGGGTAATTGGAAAATGTAGTCAGCTGCTGTTAGGATTTTAGGGTTAGGGGTGCGGCCGGGTATCCACGGGTCGGGTTCCCCCAAACCCGAACCCGCCCCAACCCGCCCAACCAGCCACCGGGTTCAAACCCGAACCCGGCCCGAACCCGGTCAACACGGATTTTATCCTGTTTGACCGGGTTGGGTCGGGCCGGGTACCCGCGGGTCCGGGTTGAACTGCCATCCCTAAAGAAACCCAAACATCGTGCCTTAACCAGCTATCTTGGGCCCGATGAAGAAGTAGTTTTGGTAGAGGGTATTAGTTGCTATAATTCGGCCCATTTTGACATGTAATCTGAGGAAATCGGCTTTCAATTCATACTATGATATGAATCAAAATGGAAGAGAGTACCCAATGAATCAAAGCTTAAGAAGTTGGGTTATTTGTGAGTGAGACTGTAAAATACATCATTTGACAAACCACCTCATAATTATGGATAGTAATACACCAAAATATGAAATCATGCATAAAAACTAAAACACGAGTCGACGAGCTACAAAATCACGATAGAAGCAAGTTATCGGACCGATTAGGAATAATACGTGTGGCGGGATGTGCCATCCGATCCACTAACGTTATCACAATGGAAGTGGAGTGTTGGGGAGAAAGCGTGAAAGGATGTGCCATCCGATCCACCGGAGGTTTATAATTTGCTTTCATCTTTTTCCACAAACACCACACTCAATTCAACACCATCCTACGAATTAGGGATGGCAACAAAACCCGAACCCACGGGTACCCACCCGACCCAACCCGGTCAACGCGGGTAAAATCCGTGTTGACGGGTTTTGGGCCGGGTTTGGGTTTAAACCCGTTCACTATTCACCGGGTTGGGTTGGGTTTGGGTTTAGGTAAACCCGGCCCGTGGGTACCCGCCCACTCATATAATTAATTTTTTCGGTATATTTAATATTCTAAACAACTATTCTTATTTATGTTTGTGGAGATATTTCTTTATTTTTTTTAATTGTGTAGAATGAAGTTGATGTTATGGAGTGGAGACTAAAGAAACTTAATTGAAAGAAAGAAGCTTTCAATTAAACATGTTATTTATGGATAATTTGTGATTTGCTTCAATTTTCATGAGTTTTCTAGATTGGTGTTGAACAATTTGTATAGTTAATTTGTGATTTGCTTGAATTTTCTAGAATGGTGTTCTATATATGGATAATTTATATTGAGAGATTGATATTTGACTTTAATTTTGATAAGAACTTGTAATTGTAAATTTTTTACGACAAAACCCGTGGGTACCCATGAACCCGCGGATACCCAACGGGTTGGGTTGGGTTTGAGTTTTTCAAACCCGGTGGGTTTTACCCCGGGTTTTTTTCAAATATAAACCCATGGGTTTGGGTTTGGGTTTGGCAAAACCCGATCCAACCCGACCCATTGCCATCCCTACTACGAATTGACATCCACAACAACACAATCAAATATCCAAAAACGCACAACATTAAAATTGGGTTCTTTAAATTGATGCCAGAAGTTTGTAAATGATACAAACAAGTACAAGAGGAAGAAAAGAAAAAAACCATTTGGCTCCCCACCTTGTAGTTTTTGAGTACAATACAACAGACAAATCCTAACCCGCTTCCTCTGTTTCCTCACCCTCTTCCCCTTTTACATCTCCGCCGCCACACGTTTGTACAAGTGAGAAGGCAGCCGAGGAGTCGCCGTAGCCATCACCGGCGTCCGCATGTAAGTCACCAACCCGGGATTCTCCGACATGTCGATCTCCTCCGGCTTAACCCCCGCCGGAGGACTCCACTGGAAATGATGCAACAAGTGACCCAACATCGACGTCACCAAGTTGATCCCCAGCTGCGCCCCGGGGCAAACCCGCCTCCCGGCACCAAAGGGGAGCAGCCGGAAGTCGTGGCCCTTCATGTCCACGTCCTCTTCCATGAACCTCTCCGGCCTGAACTCCAACGGGTCCTTCCACACCGCCGGATCACGAGCCACGGCCCACACGTTGACGTGGACGTTCGATCCCTTTGGTATGTCGTAGCCGCCGATCTTGACATTGGCGTTGGACCGGTGAGGGAGCATCAGAGGGGTTGGAGGGTGGAGCCTGAGGGATTCCTTGACGACGCATTGGAGGTAGTGCAGGCTCGAGAAGTCGGACTCGGTCATGATCCGTTCGAAGCCGATGACCCTGTCCATCTCGTCGTGGAGCTTCTGCTGGACCCTCGGGTGCTTGATGATCTCTGCCATTGCCCATTCGGACGAGATTGCTGTCGTGTCCATGCCGGCTGTGATCATGTCCTGCACGTTTCGAAATTTTCAATAAGATAACACCATAGTTTTCTGCCCTGCCTAATTAGTTGGCATGAACGACCCATTTTAATTAATCCACACCTAAGTCAGACCAAACTTTGTTATTCTACCCAACTCCAACCAACATTATTGGAAAATTAGTCGTATGCTCTGCACCATTCCCCTACCAGAGAGCTAATTGATCAATCCACTTGACCTTTTCTTATCATTCATATGGGTGATTCAACATACTGATCTGTTCATCATTTGGACAAAAACCTCGACGAAGGTAAAACGAAACAACTATCACTTAGCTACTCCAAACTTCAACATTAAGCTCGTGAAAAGTAAAATCCCCAATTGATTCACCAAGAAAACGTACCCAAAGAAGTCCGATGATGGTGTCCTCGCTGAGGTCGTACTTCTCCTTCAACGTGAGCAGCGCATCGACGAAATGCTGCTTCGTATCCCCACTCTTCTTTCGAGCCTCGGTGTGCTCCTCCATGATGGCTCGGGTGAGCCTGTCCCTACGGGCACCGTGCTGAGCGAAAGCACCTTCCTCCAAGGGGAACATCCATCGCAGCCACTCGATGTGCTCTGCCATGGAAAGGGACGCTCCTAGCTTGAGCCCGTTCGACACGATCGCCTTGAACTCGAGCCCTTGCTCGTCCATCACGCCCTCCGAGTTCACGAACCTCTTCCCGAATGCTAGCCGCGTTATGTTGTTGAATGCCACCGCTCCCAAGTACTTCTTCACTTGCAAACTCTTCTCTGCACAGCCAAATTTAGACAAACAACCAAACCAAATCAGATAAGGAATTAACATTCTTTCACTCTCATATACAAAATCGTCGTGATAAAATCATATCGACTTGATCTCTAATACAGCGCAATTTATCCTGAATCGACACAGGGTAAGATACCACAAACACCTAACTTCTAAGTCTAACTGAACTTAACTAACACAAAATTAACGGGCAACAATTCTCAATTCTCGCCTCAATTATTCTATCACAAGCAAAAGAATCAGTAATCGGATGATACAAAAAGGAATCAAACGAACCGGAATCGGAGCAGTCGCGGTAAACGGACTCAACCATGGCGGTGACCTCATCCTCCCTAATCGGCCTCAGACCTTCCAGCCTCTTGGGAGTGAAAAGCTCCAGAGTACAGACCTTCCTCACCTTGACGTAGTGCGGCCCGTAGTCGGCCCAGATCAGATCCTGGCCGTCGCGGCTGAACTTGGCCGCCGACCTGCTCCGGTGCCGATCCGCGAGCTGCTGGTCGTGCTCTTTCAACACTTCCTTGGCGAGCTGGGTGTTGGAAACGACGACGTTGAGGGTGGAGCCGAACCAGACGGAGATGATCGGGCCGTACTGTTCCGCCCACTCGGCGAAGCAGCGGAATCGGACGGGCTTGATGTCGTAGAGGTTGCCGACGATTGGGGTTGGGCGGGGGCCCGGAGGGAGCTTGAATCGGAGGCGGTAGAGGAGGGAGTAGAGTAAAGGGAGGGATGCGAGGAGGGAGACTCCGATTAGGATGAGCTGGAGCGCCATGGCGGCAGCGGCGGCGGCGGCGGCGGCGGGGGTTAGATCTCGAATTCCGGTGGAGGAATTGGGAAATGGCGGTATTGGATTTTGATGGAAGATAGGGAGCTTTTTGGTTTTAATGTGGAAGAAAAGCAAGCTCTTTGGGGAGTTGGTGGAATGGATTTTTTTTATTTTGATTTTATTTTTTGGTTATATGATCAAGTTTGAGTGGGTGAGCAATTGGGAAAGTGCCCGCGAGTGTTATTGACGAAGAAGGAAATAGTGCGATATCGGGTTGAGAGATAAACGGGTTCGGTGCCCCGGCCCGTTCCAACGGGTTTTTTTTTATAGAATCCAACGGGTTAATTGTTGGCGCCTTTTTTACATTTTGTGAAAGCAAATGATAAAATCGTATTGCAGCAAATGTAAATTATATTTTCATATCTATGCGGCTTCTCTTCGAGGATAACTCAGAAAAAAATGATAAATTAATGACTTGTTTACATTGATAAATTGATTGACGACAATTTATTTGACTTGTGGTGGTAATTTTGTACATGTCTTACAAGGGTCGAAGTCGATTGAAGTAGATTAGTTAGGATATTCGGTCAAAATTATACATACGTGACATTATTGTATCAAAAATTTATGTGAAAGTCAAAGGATAAAATAATTATTGTACTAGTTTTAGTATATTCGAGATCGGAATAGAAACAACATGAATTTGGATTGACTTGTTGACAAACTATTAGTATTGTGTGATCTTAATTTGGGATAAAGTACTTCAATAAATTTGAACCACTTAGAACCACAATATGTGAAATCCATCAATCCAAAAGTAAAAATAGGGGTCGTTTGGATGAGGTTTTTAGGTGAGTTATTTTGGCTCAAATAATTCTCAACGAGTTACTTGGGCCAAAATAAATTATTTGACAATATTCCACTAAAATGAGTTATTCAGTTATTTGGTTCCTGGGTTATTTACGAATAAGTAATAACCGAAAAAACGAGTTATTTGAACTAATTTTCGCACCGTGTTATTTAGAAATAACTTTGTTTACCCCTCTGTTATTGACTTATTGCCAAATATCCCACGTATAATACCATATGCAAAAGGTTATGCGAAATGAGATATTTGAAATGCCACATGAGCAACTAAAACAAAAACAACATTGAAATATCACATAAACAACTAATGAATTATTTCTCTCTATAAATGCCACATTTTACAAATACCATACGTGAATGATTCGACCAAGAGAAATATTTACAACTATCAAAAAATAACACTAAAAAACCACTAATGTATAATTGCACAATTAATTCATAATTTCTCATATAAGTAAAACACGGGTCGGATCCGCAAAATACCCGGGTGTCAGACGAGCAAACGACGGCGTCGAGAGTGTGTGGGCCGTGTTGGACACGCGCGACTGGGCTGCGAATGGGGATTTTTTTGAAGCATCAGTTGTTGAGGGTTGGTGAGGCTCCTGATCTTTTTTAAAATATTTCTTTAATTATTTTCCCCGGGTAAGGTTGGTAAGGTGGTGGTGCGGTTCCTTCTACCAACTACGGTCCATCTTCTTCAGCCCACATTATAATTGCAAAACCCACTGGCTCAGCCCACAGATTCTTTCATGGATAGTCTTCCACCCAATGGACTCACATGAATTTTCATTCCCTGGTCAAAATGTTTAGGCCAAATAGACTTTGTATAGCCAAAACTTTAACGATTTTGTCAGATATAGCCATTTTTGGTAAAATATCAAAATAGTCACTTTCATTCAATTGTTTGACGGTGTTAGTTAATGTGCTAACTGAACTAACGGAAAATCTGACGTGGCAACATTTCATAAATAACAATGCCCACGTGGATTTCACTTTAAAATATAAAAATGAAATAAAAAGTTTCCACTCTCTCCCTCATCTTCTCCCCCTGATCCCTGTACAATTAATCGAGAAACCCCATTATCCGCCGGCAAAAAAACTTCCCTAACCCCCACACCCAACAATCTCCTCCGTATTTTCGCCGCCACCGCAGTCGCCGCTTCCGACGATGACGCCCCCACCGCCTCCACAGATGATTTTGCAAGAGCAATCACATGCCCCGCCTTCGTCGCCGCAATAGATTTGGTGTCTGCTGCGATCGATTCAGCCTTGGAGACGGGTTTCTTTGATTTGAAGCTGAGGGTCTTGTCCATTGCGGCCTTGGCCGACGCCGCCTGCTCCTCGGAGACCCTTATTTACTTGCCCGGCACCAGAAATCCTCCTTCTACCAGCGTCGTTATCCGGGAAGAGATTTTGGGCGAGATCGAACATCGGAAGATTTAACGGGATTTCCATATCTGTTTCCACACGCTCGTCCCTCGATGGCAAAGACCAACGATCTGGCGCAGGGCGATGATTGCGGAGAGGGCATTGGAGAGATCAGACGATGATGCTCTCGCACTCCATTCCCTCGATTCAAATAGCAACCTCTGTTTTCCAGATTCCTTCATTCTCCAATCCCCAGTAAAATTTTAGCCTCTGCGATTTATTCAACGATGAGAATCTTAGATCTGGTGATAGGAATTTGGATTTTCGACTGAATTTTTCAATTGGATATTCAGTAAAGTTTGTGTCTTTTCCTTTTGGCAGATTGTCGTGGTTGTAATCCTCCAGCTATGGCGAGCAGTTTGGTGGATGAGGCCGGGAAAAAAAATTGATTATTGTATTTTTATGATTTTTATTTATTTTTAAATTAAATATGATGTGGCATCCATGTGCCAAGTGTTGGTGAGTTGTCGATGATGTCTCTAGTGAGTTGGCAGCCAGATCATTGTTCCGTTAACTAGACTAACGGTGTCACTCACGTCGTCAAACTATGTAACGGAAATGGCTATAATTGTCATCCAACTTTCAAATTTCTGGCTATTTTTGGTATTTCCTCAAAATTGGCTATTATTGTCACAAACGTCAAAGTTTTGGCTACACAGATAATTTAACCAAATGTTTACCAATCAATGAGTAACGACAAGTTATAGCCACAAATGAATCGAGTCGCTCATGAGTAGTTTTTCAGCTCGGGAAAAGCTCGTTATACTCTCGATTTGCTTACAAGCAAACCAAGCTTGACCTAAATATTGTCCAGCTTGTTGAGCTTGGTTCATGAACTGGTTCGTCTTTAGTTCATGAGATGACTCGTTAGTATGGCTGGCAAGCAGCTCCACAGACAGCATATGAGCAAGTTTCGATCTATATCTTATGAGTTGGCTCATTAATGATTCATAAGCTCGTTAGATTATATATCTCGCCCCACATATAATGTTGTTAAGGCTTCGGACAGTTGAGCAAGTATGTCTAATTTATAATGTTTTTTTTTAAAAAAAAATCTTATAGCTAAAGTTAGTAGGCTACTATGGAATCCGAAAATTAGCATGCCATGGAGGAAAAGGTGCAAGAGGTTTCACGGGGGACCATGAGTGCGAGTTGCTTAATGGATTGGATGGATTGGTGGAGTTGGCTCGAGAAGGAAATGTTGATATGAAAGTAGATTGTAGATGTGTAACTTTCACCAAGGTCATTTCCCCGACCTCTTCAGCAGTGTTAGCCGATCATGATTTCCAGGTCATTGAGGAAGCAAGAAATTTCATTTCTCGCCCTACTTCTTTGAGATCAGCTACATTGCAATCTCAACCAAGGGGATCCCGCTCTCATCCTTCACCACCGCCTGGTTCTTTTCAGAGGATTGTGCACTCTGATGGTTCTTTTTGTGCAGAATCACAGGAGGCGGCTTATGGGATTACTATTGCTAATGCCCATGGTCAAGTGTTGGACGGCAAGGCTGAGAAAGTCTTTTGTTCCTATCCTATTCAAGCGGAAGCTTATGCAATTCTTAATGTTGTCTTGTGTGCATCTCAGGATGTTTGCCAGACGTGTATCAGGTCTGATTGTCAGATTCTGATCCTCGCCTTAAGGCTTACTCCTGATCGATGGCCTTGGCAATGTCGACCAATCTTGGCACGTATCATTTCTCTCCTCCAACTGGCTCCCTGGATCAAGGTGATGTTTATCCCCAGGCGTCTCAATGATCTTGCTGATTGGGTGGCGAGGAATGAGCGTTTGGGATCTCTTCCTGCGGATTGGTTGACTGTTGCTGATCTTGTTTCTCCTTTGCTGTAAGAATGTACTTGGTTTCCGTTGATGGGTTAAGGAATAAAAGCATTTCTATTCGTAAAAAAAAAAAAAAAAGTTGAGTCCTCACTATAAGCTAATAAAGTATGCCAATAATAAAAAAAACTTTTTGACACTTTGTTTTACAAAGTACAAATTTGATTTGGAGTTAGGTTAGATCAAATTGTGAAGAAATAGAAATTAGAAGCTAAACTTAAGGGAATATTCTAAGTATATTTCGTGATCAGTGCTTAACGTGACTTATATGATCGAATTCAATGGTTTTTAGTTATCTCAAATTATATAATCAGTGATTAACCTGACTATATTATCTTTTGTGTCTTATATACAATGACTAAATTGGCCTGTTAGCATTGCCAACTCCAAAGCCCAACCTATCGTACTAAAGGATCCGACAACAAAGATGAGATGAATTTGCACATAAATTAATAAAAAATAAACGAGTTCTTATAAACTTACAATCGCACCAATGGCCGAGAATATTTAAGATATTCATCAAAATTTCCATCATATGGAATCTTTTTTTTTTCTTTCCCTACCTTCTTTCAATGTGTTTAGACTAACTTAAATTATTCACATCTACCACCATTTGCTCTAAGAGAAAAGAACCTTAATCCTAATTTGATCTAGAGCTTAGCCTTTACACTCTTTCATCTTCAACATCTACAAGTTTTCTTTTTCCCCCCTTTCTTCCAACTCAAGTCATCTCATCAAAGATATTAGATATCAAGGCATCATAATATCATTGGCAACCCATAGTTATTGAAAGTGGAAATCTTCCCATCCCAACTCCCCGTCACAATCACCATCCCCCATGTCGTCGGGTTCCGATCCACCACCCTAGACCCTCCTCCGGCACCATTCCAACCGGGAAGCCTCTCCTCGGGCCACGTGGCACCAGAGGACGAGTTCGCCCTGAATCCACCGTCTTTGAACCAATTGCCAATCGAAAACCTATCCATGTCTTTCGAACCCCTCCTCCTACCACCATGGTGGCTGGTGCCTTTCTGGCCAAGGAACCTTCCTGGACTCGCACCACCACCACCGACGCCACCACCACCAATACTGCTCTTGTTGCTTCCATGCCAAGGCACCGCCACGGAGACACCTTGTGAGGAGAAATGCTCGAAGGACTGTTCAGATTTTATCTTTTTGGAGTAGACAGGGCTACCAGCACCATACAAACTGCTGCTGCTTTGGTCATTGTAGTTCCAGACATAGACTTGACAGTCATCTCCAACCGAGATTATGTGTTTCCCTGTTGATGTGAAGGAAGCCGACATTTGATTCCCTGACCTTGGAAGCCCTGTCATTAGATAACAAAAAGGAATCGATATTATAGTCCAATGACTCACGCCACTCAGATGCCACATCAGCTAATCAAGTACATTAGAACGAGATTCGAGGTACATTGTTAGTTTAACTGTGTGGAGGGATTAGATTATCAACCCCATTAGGAAAAAGATTGTGTCTTTGCATGCAGACTACTAAACTAGTGAAATTTGGGTCAGGGTTCATGCATCAGAAGAACTATGTGACTCATCAGTATGTATTCCCCAAGAAATACAGCTGTGGAAGTTTCAGTTGGATGTATGCACTGGATGTGAAAACTTTAGTATTTTATAATTACTGAAAAAGAGGGTTTGTGTGATTTTTTTACCTTTAAACTTGTGGATGAGGTCAAAGCCATCGAATATTCTGACTTTGGAATCTTCAGAAGTGATCATGACTTTTGGAACTTTTTCCTGGGAGAACTGCAGAATATGGAAAGATAGATCTGGTTTAGATTTGGGATGTTCATGGCTTTTTGTAACTGAAAAGAGCTTGGAGTTCAAGTTTGAACAGACCTGAATGCCTGTGATTCTATTGCTGGATGTTCTCTTTCTGCCTTGTATATGAATCTCTGCCTCCAGATGCAGATCATTAGCTGCATTGTTGAAAACTGAGTTAGAAAAGCTCATTTCCAACCAAAAAGGAACAAACTTTTAATGAAGAAAAAAATAGTGCTAATGTAAATTTTGGCCCCTGTAATATGCAATGAATATAAACAAGCCCTTGAGCTAAGATTCTCATCTTTGACTATGGGATAACATTTGCTAACTCGGTTTAATCGAAAGGGCTTGAAAGGTAAGAGTTTGAATTCAGGGACTTGTTTGTAATCATTTCACAGTACAGGGGTCAAAAAGTGCATTAACTCAATAGCAGACTTGAAAAAAATGGAGCTCAATTGCAGATAGGGTTATGTATGTACCTGATACTTCATAGAACCGGCATCTGCCTCGAATCGAGCCAACTACAAAACCCTGTTGATTTCATGATGAAAAGAGTTTGTTAGGATCTCAATGGTTAAAGTTAAGAATTCACTGAAGCATGGCAAAAAGTTCTGAGAATCATATTTTCATAATCATATGCTTACCTTCCCATCTGGTTTGTAACATATAGCAGATATAACATCTCGAACATCAGCCCATTCGATGACTCGTGTCTCAGAAACCCCCCAGATTCGAACTTTCCCGTCGATCGATCCACTGATGAAGTTGTTCTCATTGACAGGATTGAATTGGATGCATGTCACTGTTCCCAAAGTCAAACCAAAAATGGTTCAGTAAAAATTGTATGACCAAGCTTGCTTATTATCGCCCTTATGTTTTGCATAAACTCACCATAGTTCCTGTGGTGGAAAACATTGAGGCAATGGTTGCAACCAAGTTGCCACAATCTAACAGTTTTGTCCTTTGAAGAAGACAGCAGCAACTGCAAAACAAACCAGAGAATGAAAACATGTCAAGATTCAGTCAACCAAGGTGACTCTCCTACTTAGGTAATGAAATGAATACTGGAAAGCTTTTTCCTGTCCACTGTCTCTTACATTTGAGCTTGACCATGCCAAGTCCAGAACATCACTCGAATGCCCACGAAACTCGTGCACCGGTGACTCTTCAATCCTGAAGACCATCTCGGGAATCACAATGGAAGGCTGCTGCTGATGCTGGCCACCACCCTTCTTCAAGCCAGCCCCGGGAAGCTTGGAATCAGCAGGAGCTGTTCCAACTTGCCAAATTCTAATGATTCCATCTTCACCACCAGTTGCTAAGTACTTGGCATCAGGGCTGAACTTCATTGTCCAAATGAATCCCTTGTGAGCTTGGATATCTTGCCCTACAAACAAACCACTGAGCTCCATGTACTTCTTCTTGTTGCACTTCACTTTTGCAAATTTGCCGCTTGCCTTGGAAACCAAGTCATTACTACTAACATCCTGATCATCCCTCTTCTTGTTGTTCACAAACTGCTTCCAACTCCACTTTCTCTTCATCTTCTCACCATTCCCTTTCTGAGAAGTTGAGACCTCTCCATCCGAGCTCTCGCTCCCACTGCCTGGTTTCCTTCCCACGAACTCCTCCTCTTCTTCTGAATCATCATCAACCATGGAATTAGCTTCAGTACCACACTCCCTCCCTAAACAAACCGAACTGCTTCCCCCATCTCCATCAGTGCACGAACTCCGCGAACATTCAGCATTGCTGCTCTCAGAAACCCTCTCAGACAACTCCAACCCACCAATTTCTCCCTCACAGTCACCACCATTGTTGCTCATTGTAGACCTACTCACATCATTTGAAAGACCCATTTGGGACATGAAATTTTGGCGCCTTTTCTCAACACTCTGAGGCTCACTCAGCCAAATCTCAAACCCAGATCCCTCTCCTGACCACATTGGATCACTTCCTACTTCCTGAGACATTGGCATTTCTCCACAACCTGAAAGACCAAAATAAAGAGAAAAAAGGACCCCCTCAATGCCACAAATCAAATTAGAGAAAAAGCTTAACAAATAGCAAACTCTCCTTATAACAGCAAACACCAATCCCTACAAAATTCCCAGAATTCACGGCCCGAGTTCTCCTCCCACTACCACATTATAAAAATGGAAACTTCCAACTGAGGGAAACATTAAAAAGAAAAAAAACTCAGCAGACATGGGCAAGTACTAGGAACCATCTATTCAGAATCAAACAACCAATGGGATTATGACAGGAGATTGAATCAGGAGCTTCAAAATGTGGGCGGGAATTGAATCAATAAAGAAATTGGAAAGGGGAAGGGAAGCAGGAACCCACTTAACTCGGCTAAATGACAAGAAGAGAGAACAATTATAGGAGAAAGGGATAAACGAGAAAGGAGACCAAAATAGAGACACTTGCTAGTACCTTGGTTTCCATGCAAAGCAACTAATCGAAAGCTCGTCCAATTTTATAGCACCGACCTCCCCGTAATTGCTGGGCTTATAATGTAGCTAACACAATGTCAAATTTGGAGGGGGAAGTCAACAATTTTTCTCTGTTTCCTCTCCTTCCCCACACGAGCAACTGAAAATAATACAATAAACAAACAAAAAAGATTGGGTTTTTACGCTTCACCTTTGCTCTAAGTGCTCTGTATATTGCAAAACCGAAACTCAGAGAGAGGGAGGAGGAAATGGCGGAGGAAATGAAGCGAGAGAAGAACGAAACAAAAAGGAGAAGAAGAAGAAGAAGAAGGGTGCGGTGCAGTGAACAAGCGATTGGGGGGAGGACGGGGAGAGTTGAAAAAGCTTGGGAATGTGCCCACCAAATTAAATGACTATTGAACAAATGTCAATATCACAGAACGGTAGATGAGAGATTTAGGGACCAAAAAGGGTCTCGAGATCTGGACAGGGAAGAAAAAAAAAAGGAAGATAGAACCCAGATAAATGAAATGGAGGATGAAGAAGAAAGCCTGTTCCTTTTTTAGTTTTTACTCTGTTTTTCTTGCTGGAATCCTTGTGATAATGGCAGAGCAGAGGAAAGGGGGAAGAAATCCAAATACTTTTCAATGCAGAATCAAAGGGGGGGAAATTGGGGATATGATTGTTTCCCTGATTGAATTTGATCTCGATTTATCAGAAACCCAAATTTGGGGAAATGGGTATTTAACCCTTTAGAAATTGGGGGGATTTGGAATTAAGGGGAGCAATAAAGTCGAAACCTTTACCCTCCCTTTAGCTTCTAAAAAGGGGCATTAATGGCGGCAAACAAACAAAACAGAACAACAAACACACATTTAATTTTTGACAAAAAGAGAGCAAAAAATAGGCACAACAACAACAACAGCAGCAGCAGCAAACAACTTAATCAGACAGCTATAATGTAATAGCTGCTGCTGGTGGAGGTGGTTTTTTTTGTCTATGGAACAGTAATGGTGTTAATGGAAGGAGACACAAAAACAACAAAGCAGCCAAGCCCAGGCAGACAATTACCCATTGGCAGGGAAAACGATTTCCTTCTAGTAAATTGCTGCTGCTGTTGCTACTTGCTAGTTACTACTGACTTTTGAGCTTGGGGGATTGTGTCTGTTTGTGTTCTTTGATCTTTCTTGCCTTCCTCTTTTTGGACAGAAATGGTTGCAGAAAGAAGAAAGGAAGCTTTTTTGGTGCAATGCATATAGATTAGAGGGTGGCTGGCTGGCTAGGTTCCTGCAAATTTGGCTACTCAGAACAGTTTTTTGGGTTCTGGAGGGAGGGTTTCCTTTTTCTTGGTTGTTTGTTTTGTCTTTTTTTCTAATTTCTCTTTGTTTGTTTGGTTTCTGTTGGATTTGGGAGGTGACAGATCTAACAAGGCAAAGGAGGGAAATGAATGAGTGTGTGAATTATGAATTTTTAGGATTTTTCTATGCACTTTTTAGCCATTGGTTTTTAGTAAAATTGATTGATGGTTCATCTATTTTTACATATAAAGTATTTATGTATAAACAAAGTGAGGTTGGTATAACTTTGGTAGAAAAAATATCGCATGTGTTTGTTTGCTACAACATAAGCAGTTTTACTTGCATAATGTAGACTGAGATGACAAGAAGCACATAAGTTAAGTCGAAAATTTAAGATTTTTTTTTTTTGCACATAAGTTAAGTCGAAAATGTAAGATTTTTTTTTATGTTTGATAACTATAGTTTTCACATACATTTTTTATATAAACAGACTTGTTGAAACCTTAAGTATATAAATTCTCCAAACTTATTATCATATCTCCAAACTTTCAACAACAAAACAATAATTAAAAAATTCACGAGAACTCGAAACCACATCTTACAAAACTTTCAGTCAGGTTAGAGAAATGGTTGTATTTGGGTTTTAGCTACCAAATTTTACCTTTTTACGGTCAAGTAACTTTCTTTCTTCCCATTTTTACTTGGTCATGTACCAATTTACCATCCACCATGTGCATTTGTTTTCTTTCTTTTTTTCTCTTTACTTTCCTTCCTTCATTTTTCGTTGTTTGTCCTTTTAATTTTAGTAACCTTTTTTATTGGCAATTTGGTATTGGAAATCGTTGTGTAAAAAAGCAGCAGATGAAGTGGTCATATTCGGTAAAGTAACATCCAAATCCATTGCATGAAATCTTGAGAAGACATATATACTGAGATCCTAAGTTTAGATAAAAAGGATTTGGGGTTGTAGAGTAGATATCAAATCTATGGATTTTAATGACAATTTCCAAGAAATTTTGTACCATGGGCGTGCTCCCATAGTGTCCAGTTGGGGGCAGCAAACCCAATTGCATAACAAAATAATACATGATGGATAATAGTACTACTATGTTGATTAGGGGTCGTTTGGATGTGGAAATTTGAAAACGTTGGAATTTGTCTGAATTTCCATGTTTTAGAAAACCAAGGAATTGACTTGTGGAAATTGGAAAAAAAATCACGTTTGGATAGGGTTTAGTTTTGTGGGAATTGATGGTGTGAAATTTGGAAAAAGAAATAAGAAAACGTGGTAATATCAAATTACTAGGGGGAGGTGTAGTATTCTCAATTACCATGAATGTGGTAATTGAAGCCAATTTCCATGGTCCAATTCCCATACCCTTTTTGTTCTTCCAAACGTGGGTTTTTAACCCAATTACTGCATTATGTGGTAATTGAGTCCAATTACTACATTACATTTCCACATCCAAACGACCCTTTAAGGGTTTTGGTTGTGTTTGAATGGAACCTCCTTATATTACACGGAAGTGGTTAAGAATCATACATAAACCGCTACTAACAACCGAATTATTTAGACAAATTTACTTATGATGTGATCTTAAAACTGATTCGTACTTGATGTCATGTGTAATGTGTTCCAAGTCCTCAGAACTCTCAATATTAATCGTTTGCACATGTGATCTTAAAACTGATTTGTACTTGATGTATTTGTCAACCCTTAATACTTAATAATCGGCATTGATTCAATAATGTCAATGAACATAGTCTAGACCACGTAAATCGACAAACAGACGAACAATCTCAAAATCTATCGTCAAATAACAAACTTTAGTTAATGAGGCCCCTCCTTTCCCTAAAAAAAATAATTAGTTAATGAGACTTGCGATGTGTTTCTTTCCGGTACAAGAAATTTTGTATGTTATAACTAGATTGATATAAATACAAATAAACGTTATACTCTTTTTTAAAACTATAAAAATCACCATCTCTCTTCCCCTTACATCTACAATCTACAATTCTACATCCTAAAGATATGTTAGTATGTTAGTACAATCCATCCATACTGTATTTTCATGCAATTACAATGTAATATCTTTACCCTTTTCCATTCCACAAGTAACCAACCCGAAAGAGATCCACTGCGGCCAGAGAAAATCATTGGAGATTCTCTGGATTTTCCCCTTTATAGCCAGAAAATGATAAATGGGATATAAACAAAACAAAACTTATTGAGGATCTTTATTTATCTATTTTTTATATATTTTTTTTTTGCTGAAAATGGGAATAAGAGGGAGGTGGCAGGGAAAAGATTTTCGGATCTAAACAACCCAAAATGAAAATTGTGTCATAAATTTTTACATTTGTTTTTTTTTATATAAATATTTTTGTTCTCTTGCAAGCTTTGATGGAGAAATCTGATGAATAATAATTACTACAGAAGAATAGAAACAAAAACTACTTTGTTTTTTTTTGGCTACGGAACTGGGCTCGTGTGATGTCCGCCCGCCGGTACGGACGAGGACGTGAGTGAATTGATGGCTGACGCCGACGGTGGCCCAGCAGCCCATTAAAGGCCCAATTGTTTTTTTTTTGTTTTGTTTCTTGTTTGAGTCTGGTGACGCTATCTTATTTAGCTCACATTTGAGCCTTATGATCAAAGGGGAAAAGAAAACTATTCATTTCGTTCAGAAAGAGGTGCCGTTTGGTTCAATCTTCCAGGTGACGTTAGATAGTGGTCACTTTGTAAGCCATCCCCAAAACTAAAATTTGCAATGGGAATTAAATAAATATGTTTATCGAAAGATGGGGTACGCTTCAATTCGAGACTACTCATTTTTAAGTGTAAAGAACAATTCACTAAATGTGAAAGGGGATCGTTGTAGAACCCCCAGGAGTCTAGAACAATAACATATTAAACTTTACAACGACAAAGGCTTCGATTTGATCGGAAATGAATCCCAAAACAGGAGTTTTCTTAAGGATTTCTTTGGCCCAGCTGCTCGGAAGGTCAAACTTAACATATTTTAACTGCAGTGGTAGGATTGTAAACTCGAATTCCCTGCCGGACTAGTCTCGAGCATATGCATGCTGGAATTAATAGTCAAATTCGAGCATCTCGAGTTTATGAAGTTCGGGTTTGTTTTAAGATGGGTCAAAACTTTTGTCGTGTTTGATTATTTGACTTTGTAGTTGCATCATTTTAAGTTGGTTTATGTTTTTGGGGCTAGATGGCTTAACGGCCAAGTTAGCATATTAGTCAAGGAAGTTAGCCGTGATGCAACTGATTTCGAAGGCTAAGGGTTAGTCGGGTTGGTTTTATATGCTTAACACATTCTCAGTTCAGGCGAAGAAGTGCTTATTTCATTTAATTTCAACTTATATCAGCCATAATTTCACTTTACTTTTTTTAATATAAACTTTAAAAGTGTATTTCTCCTCTCTTTTGTGCCGATTAAAATAATTAAAATCGCGTAAAATTTTAATTCTAACATCATTGGTGTCGGTGGGTTATGAAACTCTTATCTTCATGTAGTTAGACTAAATTAAAATTTGAGCTTTGACTGCAATATTTGAGGAGTTGAAACTGGTACCCGCCAAAGGTAACATAGCCTAGTGGTGAAACCACTAGACCAATTGAGTTCTGGATGTGGGAGATTCTAAGTTCGATTTCTAGTGGCGCCACTTGAGCGTTCCCGGCGGCACCCTTGGTATCGGAGGCGAAGCCTCCCCGATGTTGGTAGCAGAGAGCCCCGGTTAGTATGCAGGTTCGCCTCCCGATGTTGGTAGCAGAGAGCCCCGGTTAGTATGCAGGTACCCCAGTGGATGTTGGTAGCAGAAAACCCCGGTTAGTATGCAGATACCCCCAGTGATTTAGTAGGCCCCAGTGCCGCTCAAGCGGCACGTGGGAAAACCCCGTTTAGTATGCAGATACCCCCAGTGATTTAGTAGGCCCCATTACCGCTCAAGCGGCACGTGGGGCTGAGGTTCCCTGGTGGGTCATAAAAATAAATTGGTATCCTATTTGGCAGTTGAAACCGACATCCTCATCCCCTTCGCTGGGCCAAAGCCCAAGTGTATTTTGTTTTCCTTCTAGATGAGCTAAGGCCCACTTAGCAGGACAAGAACGAATTGGAGTTGCTACTAAACTGCGTCTCTAAAATTTGAACATACTTTATTCGACTAAATAAGTAGCTTACGACGATAACTAATCTCGAAACAAGCACACGAAAGACGAGTTTGTCGATACCATCCGATTATTAACCCAACGAAGAAATAATCGTTGTCATTTAGCTTGAATTCGTACCGAACCAAATTGTTGGAGGGGGGGGGGTGGGATTTTCTGTTAAATTCAAACCGAAACAAAACCAAACCGAACTCGATCTTGTTCGGTTCAAAACCGAACTAGACCCTCACCAATTCCCCCCACACGAACGTACCAAGTTGGCAAACCGTTGCTTTCTAGCTTAACATAGTACCCTGTACGGCAATTGCAGACGCATGCAGGCTGATCGATGCTGGCGTGGGTAAATTCTCTGGTCCCAATAATTTACTCATTGCGTTTGTTTTCTTCTTGCAGAAAAACTAGATATGTACATGTTGTTTACTTTTAAAGTTTATACACAAACATCTGTCAATTCTATGGTTTCGTGTTCTTTTTTTCCCACAAGAGTAGTAACAAAGTAAATTACCTGATGACAAATCGACAATGCAAGAAACAATAAATTATTGAAAAAAAATCGACCCGAGTTCAAAGAAAGCAAGAGAACGAGGTAATCACGAACCAGCATTTCGTGTTTGCATATCAAGACCGACATCATCTACCGAAAAAAGAACATGATGAAGTTGATACAGATGCACCATATACTGACATTTAAAGAAGGGCAACAGGGATCATTGAAGAGACCTATTTGCTTGTTCTTGGAGCTGCCTCTAATCCAACAACAATGGCTCTCTCTCTCTCTCTCTCTCTCTCTCTCTCTCTCTCTCTCTAACTACGAAAGTGTACAGAAATGCAATGGTCAGGTGGGAGTTTTCGTTCAGAGTTTATGTAAGAAGACGATCAGAGAGTAGACACATGGATGCAGATCAATAGTTGTTAATTATAAACAACTAAAAGTTTAATTAATTAATTAAAATTAAATGGGAGATTAATTTGATTATTGGTGGCCAAACTAGCCACGTACGATTGGTAACCTGCACAAAAAAATGTTTGTGTGTGTGGGTGAGTGATCTCTTGTGGTTAGGGACAAATCTCAGGCTGATTAAATTAATAAATGAATTCCCACTCTTTTTTCTCTATTTTATATAGTGTTTTTTTATATGGTTTAATTGATAGTTTTAGTGGAGACTGGAGAGTAGGTATATCTATTATGTCTTAATCATGGAATCAGGTGTCTCTCCCAATCTGATTCAGTCCAGCTCATTTGGCCTTTATGGGGTCCGCTTGTTGAATAAAATCTAAATCATTTAAGTACAAGTTCATTTGTTTAGTTAAATAATTATGGGATTATGTAGGTAGGGATAGGGACATTATTGATACCATAAGGCAATAAACCAAAGTTTGATTGTGTTCTTTTGTTCTCTCATTTTCTGAATCTCTGATTTTGCTGTCCCCAATTAGGGATGGCAATGGGTCGGGTTTTGCCAAACCCAAACCCAAACCCATGGGTTTATCTTTGAAAAAAATCCGGGGTAAAACCCACTGGGTTTGAAAAACTCAAACCCAACCCAACCAGTTGGGCATCCGCGGGTTCATGGGTACCCACGGGTTTTGTCGTAAAAAATTTACAATTACAAGTTCTTATCAAAATTAAAGTCAAATGTCAATCTCTCGATACAAATTATCCATACATAAAACACCATTCTAGAAAATTCAAGCAAATCACAAATTAACTATACAAATCGTTCAATACCAATCTAGAAAACTCAAGAAAATTGAAGCAAATCATAAATTATCCATAAATAACATGTTTAATTGAAAGCTTCTTTCTTTTAATTAAGTTTCTTTACTCTCCACTCCATAACATCAACTTCATTCTACACAATTAAAAAGAACAAAATATACACCTTATATCAAAGTTGTATAGGGTGGTAACTGTTGATAGACAGTGGTGAAATATGATAAATGGTGATTAGTAAATTCTTATTATCATGTATACTATCATTCTACATTATGATATATTATGTACTACCAAACATTACCACCATGATATGACTGATAATATATGCTTCAAAATCTGAATTCCAACATATATCAAGGTGGATGTCATTTTGAAGAGCGCGAATAATATGAATTTACTGTGCAATAAAATTGATTTCCAATTTACAACAAAAGAGATATATCTCGTTAAATTAAATTGAGGAAAAGAGCTTTTATCGGTTGAATTCAACTCTAGATAAATTAAACTTTGTACCGACAATTTGATAGGATACTAAATTATAGAAGATGAGATTTCATGTCTTAACCTGAAGTTCTAACAAACGAACATTAAAGTGTGTCGATGAACATTTTAGATGATAAGAAGAAAAGGGATGAATCTTTGGTATGCACTCTTATAATACATATATGAATGATTCTGAAGTTGAAGATCGTCTGTGGGCACTCATAAAACCTGAAAAAATCAATCATTGACAAAATTGATTGTTTTCCTTAAAAGAAATACCAATAGTGAAGACACGAGAATCATTTGAAAAGATAATATGATGTGAGCAATAAAATCGTAACCTAAATTATTAAACTATTGGATGACTCACTTCCACAATGCACTATAGCCTTCATAGAAAAAAGTACAAATAACACTTAATTTGTTTTGCGAAAAAAGTGACCTAGTATGTAAAAGTAAACATGATCCCCCTATTATCTTTCCTTAATTAAATTTGTCTTTTAAAAGATCTCTCATACATGTGGGTGGAGATCTTCACATTCCAAGGCAAAAAGGTGGATTTTGATCTCTTATTGCTACTTATTGGGGCCACTAAATCTCCTCTCATCTTGTTCTTTTGCTGTTGGTTTATTATTTTAATCAAAGTTCCTTACATGGGATGTTAATTAAAAAAACAATTAATTAGCAAGTAGCAGCAACCCACGTACATATAATTGAGAGGTTTCCTTTCCTATACACATAAACTAACGAATATTTGAGATTTTAAAGGTTGAATGATTGAATTAGTGTGAGTCGGTCCGACAGATTTGATCGAGATGAACGTTGACGAACTTTTAGATGATCATGAATAGTTTTTTTAATAGTTTCAAAGAAGTTATTCCAAATGATTTTTTTATTCTATTTTAATCCGATTAAATCAAATAACAAACAAATAACGAATTCGAATATGATAAAACTTTTATCCAATATTTCAAATGGATGAAAGTAAATAACAATACAATCCAATATCCACAGGCACAGATTTTAAGTTGTTTAGAAAAGTTCATAGCAAAAAACAAATTTCCCCATTTGGCAATGATGTTTAATGTCATCGCATCCATCGGACTACTGTGATTCATTGTTAGCACGTTCTCACATACGTCCTGTGAGCCCCATAGCAGATTTGGTTTACCTGCTGAAGTCCCTTCTGCTCTTCCATTAAATCATTCTTCTTCCATCATGTACTGGTGGATCATTGGCTTCCTCTGCTTCCCTACACCATTGCAGAAAACAGCAAGGAAGACACTGATAGTTTTCCTGTAAGCAGACTGCAATATGTATGCATGACAGTTTTCTTCCCTGAGAAAGGAAGACACTAATAGATAGAGGCAAAAACAAAGAAGAAGGTGATACAGCTCTGGAACACAAACTACAATGGTTACTTAGCAGTGATGCTGATAAATCTTTTCCTTCTGGCACCGAGTTGTTCAAAAAAGGACGATTCCTAGATACTCAACCTGAATCCTGGAGTGTCTCTTCGTCCAGATTTATCTTGGGGATGTGAGAAATGTTGGGCCAATCTTCCTCCTTGCATCTTTCCGTCAGCTGTTCACACTGGTAAATGTCTAGTGATCGCAACGAGGCGAGTTGGCGCATTGCTGGAGGAAGAGATGTCAATCTTGAACAAAACCGAATCACCAGCTCTTGAAGAGAGGTGAGGCCGCTGAGGCCTCCTTCTGGTAGAGATTCCAAGTCGTCGAGATCCACGAGCAGCAATGCTGTCAGCTTAGAGAGCGGAGTGATTGTTGTTGCTGTTGCTGCTTTCATCTTCATTGTCCGCACTAGTGCCTGTGCGCTTGTCTGCCACAGCGTCAACTGGCCTTCGACGGTTGGAAAGAGTGGCATTCGAGTCAGCTTCGGACAACGTACAATCTTCAGAGTGGAGAGGCAAGGGAAATGTGGCCACTCCTCGTCTTCATTTCCCTCTTCATCTCTTTCCAATGAAGGCTGGAAGGTATAATACTGATCATCATCACCATCATTGTTCTTCTTCTTCTTCCACCAACATCCCTTCAGCTGGCGACAGCCCCAAACAGTTAGCTCCTGCAGAGATGGAAGTTGGTGTAGGGGTGGCAGGTACTCTACAGTTGTGAGGTCACGTATGTCGATAACCGTTAGGTACACACTCGAACACAACGAAGCAGGTAGCTTTTTGCATCGGTCACAACCATCAATGGACAGCTCTTGAAGAGAGACGAGACACCTGCTCGAATTAGGACTTGTTATGGATTCGAGATCATCGTCGATATCAGATAGTGTCAACTTGGTCAGCTTGGGCAGTGGGTCAACCCCACCTCCTCTCTTCATCTTCATCTTCATGGTCCGAGAAAATGGAGCCAAGCTCGCAGTTTCCAACACCAGCTTGCCTTCCACGGTAGGGAAAGTGGGCAACCGAGTTAGCCTTTTGCAATCCCGTATGCTTACATGGGCAAGACAGTGAAACTGGGGCCACTCGTCATCCTCTTCCTCTGTTGTTGAATTGCCCGGGGCAGAATCACAATGCTCACCATTATTGATGCCTTTCAGCATTGGGCAATTTTCAATTGTAAGCTTCTTCAAGCTTGAAAACTTATGTATTTGCGGAGGGAGGTACTCACATCGCTTGCAATCTTTTAACGAAAACTCAACCATATTCGTGAGGCCTGAAAACCAGTCAGGAAGCTTCACACCTTCATAACCACTGAGCTCAAGATGCTTCAAATTAACAAGCGTCTTAGTACCCCTTGGTAGTTCTTCTAGCGACAGGACATTAACGAGGATGAGCACTTGCAGATTAACTAGGTTAGTAACTGAGTTTGGAAGCTTTCTCCTTCCCGCACCAAGAGCAAGATATCTTAAATGCTTCAACTTATTAATAGAATTCAATAATGTAGAAGCATCCAAGGCAGAAGAAGTTTGCTCAGCATCCGAGTTCGAATCTTCTTCAGCAATGATCAGTACACGTAAGCGTAACAAGTCGTTAAGGACTCGCTCACGTTCATCGTTTGAAAGAGATTTCAGACACATAAGAGTTCGGACCTTACTTGCATTGTGTAAGCCATCACCATAATCTTCTTCTCCTGTCACATCATCATTGTTGATATCCGATATTAACAAGTGACGAGTCTTCGAAGGAACGTTTCTCAGAACAGTTGAACTTGAACTTCTCATGATCTTTTCTCCCGCTATTGAATCAGCCAAGTCGTGCATCAAATCATGCATTCTGCATGTGGACATACTGCCGGACTCATCTATCTCCACTTCTTGGAAAAACGACCTCCACCACAACGTTTTGAAGCAGCCGATGCCTTTTTCTTCCGACTCAACGTACCCTTGCGCTACCCAGAATTGGACCAGCATTTGAACAGGGAGTTCCAAACCCTTGCCAAACAACTTGCAGTAAGCAAAGCAATGTTTCATATGAGAAGGGAGATGGTTGAAGCTGAGTTTCAGAACTGACATAGTAGGATCTTCTTCTTCTCCTTTCGCGATGCTCGAAAGGCCCTTCAGCAGAAAAGATGGCCACTCGAGCCTTGGATCACTTGAATTTACTAACACTCCGGCTATGGTGCTCACAGCGAGAGGAACCCCATCACATTTCCTCAATATTTGCTTACCAATTTCTTGCACTTGTGGGTCTTGCGGGACTCTCCTTGGGAGGGCCTTCTTCACCAACAAGTTCCAACATTCTTCTTCTGATAAGCCTTTCAAGTGGTAAGGTTCGACAATGCTAGTACTTGTTTCCGACTTGAGAGCTTCACCACCAACCTCTGCCACTTTAGTGGATCGAGTAGTCACCAGCACTTTGCTTCCAAGGGCACCAACCGTCAAATACTTTCCCAATGTCTCCCAACTGCGGCTGGTCTCCTCCCAAACATCGTCCAATACGAACAGAAACCTCTTGCCTTTGATTTTTTCTCGAAGTTGAGCTTGCAAATCATCCAGCTCAGGACCAACCTGAACCTGACGATCGATTGATCGTAGCATCTTTCCGAGAATCACTTTGACATCAAAGCTCTGTGACACATACGCCCAAACTCTGATGTCAAAGTGGGTGTTAACTTGTTCATCATCAAATACAAGCTGAGCCAGAGTGGTCTTTCCCAGCCCACCCATCCCAACAATCGGGACAGCTGAGATGTTGGCTTCAGAATTGGAATTCAGCAGCAGCAGAATGATGTTCTTCTTGTCCTCTTCCCTCCCAATGACGACAGTGGGTGGGCAGGAATCAGTCTCCCTTGAAGAAAAAGCTTCCTCGGTGCGAACTTCCAAGTTGAAAGTCTCCTTCTCTTTCGATATAACATCAAGCTGCTCTCGAATTTCCTTAATGCCACTAGCCAGCTTATAATCATAGACCAATTGCTTAGGAAGGGAAGAGAGCAGAGAGAATACCGAACTCCAACAAGTCGCGATCATCATCCCCGTCCTCCCACGAGTCACTGCTTGCCGCCGGAGCGCAGCCTCAGTGGCAAAATCATCAAGCAGATCGTCAGCATCGTACATGACGTCGGAGAGCCTCTTGAGCCAGAGTCTGACTTGTTGGTTGTGGGACTGCTTCTCCTCTGCGTCGAGAAGCACCGCCTGAATGGAGGTGACCGTGTCCTTGAGTTTCAGGATCTCGGGTTTGAGAGTCCACAGGAGCAGGAGCTGGTCGTATGCAAAGCTGGCCAACTTGCCAAGGATTTGTTCAGCTACAGGCATCAGAAGGGTTTCAGCCATTTCTTTGCGAGTAAAAACAGAGGAAATGCAGGGGAGCTTGGAACAGAGTGATTGGTTTGTGATTGTGTGAAAGAGATTACCAAGCTTTACCAAATACTAGTATCAATACCCACGGCTACGCCGCGGGAGATTTAGTAGTGTTTAGTAATACTTAAAAGCAATGTAGCAATAACGAAATTAGTTATAAATTATATATAGGAATCAACTACCGTATTTTTTGTTTAAAAACGTAGACATTCTTGTTATGGAAGACAACTTACAATCATAACGATTCTCTACTAAACATACGTCTACAGAGTTAACTTAAACTGCATGTAAACGCTTCCTTAGCTTTTGAAATTCTATACTGAAACTATGCCCAAGAAATACCTTGCTAAAGTAATAACTAATACACACGATGATCAACCAATATTCGACATAAAAGATAGATTGGCTAATGGAGAAATTGTGGGCCATTTTATAAATTTCAAGTACTTCATCAGCTAGCACTTTATCTTTCAAAGCATGCATACATTCTGTAATAGAAAATCTACCCACATCAAAACCCCATCCCAACTTTCAGTTCCATACCCCAGACCGCCAAAACTATTCATCTTTCCTTCTACCTTTTCTTTTGCATTTCATTCATACCGGGAAAAACAGAATCAGTAGCAGAATCAGTGATGGGAGAAGGCAATACCAGGACTTCGAAGCAAGCAAGAAACTACTATCTAGTCTAGTAAAAAAGGAAAACTACCAATTAAGATAGGAAAATCTAAAGCTCTCTTTCCTCTCTCCAACAGTAGCGAAGTTGAAATTGTATGATATGAAAGCTGTAACACCGTTAGTAAGAAGGCTACTTCTGACATTGCATGTAATGTAAGACTCAAATGTGCACAGGTTCTGATCAAAAAGAAATCCAACCATCATACTGCCACAAAGAGGTTGTATCCAGAACCTAAAAGTCTCGCCTTTACTCAAGCACAACCTGATACAGAAAAAAGATAACCAGCTATTGTTACATTATCAGCCACAATATCCTCTCCCAACTTATTAACTGAACTTTCCAGAGCTTCACTGAACCTTCCATTTGAATCACACAAACAACCCACAGAATTCCAAGATATCAAGTAGTGTACAAAGTCTTGGTTAATGTTCCAAAGAAGCATATAGTTTCCTACAGAACAACATCATCCTCTTAAGACCAACGTATTAAGTGTTCCCAAAAACAAAAACAAAAAGCGACAACACCTTGTAAGACAAAAATGGGACATAAATAAAATTCAATATGCCAGTTTGTAAGTTAAGCAAACACAGAGGGTATACACACACAATCCCTAGTCAACAACACATGACTATAGTATAACCGATTGATTGTCAAGTACGCAGAAGGCAGAATGTATGATTCTTAGAACTTGTAATGCTTTCTATGGGTGAAGGACTTCTTGTATTCGGTGACAGAATTTCTTCACAAATGACAAAATATAACAGGTCAAACAATGCATTGATGGCAGTGCCAAAGTTTGAACTGTTTATTCGAGTGACTGCACCTGCATGGAATCATGTTGTCCCTCCTTGGCAATGCTCTTCTTCAACAGTCCATATATGTATCTAAGACCATACCATATGCAGGCAAAACTGTTCCATAGCTTAGGTTAGCTTATTTTAAAGTGCTAGCTTAAAATACATACTCAAGCTTAAAACTGTTCCACTCTCACAGTGTTGTCATACCTGTTGCTCTGATCTTGAGCAGTAAGCTTCGATTGAGTATCCCAGCTAAAATTCAGACCTCAAGAATTTTGACTGAAAGGATTGATAAGGAGCAATGTTAAATTGAAGAAAGCCAATACCCAGATTGGATGATTATCTGGAGACAAAAAACAAAGAAACTAACTGCCAGAGCACGCAAGTGAAGATGAATATTGTGATTAGATCCATGAATGGACCAGACGCAGACATATACTGGTGTAGCATCTCCAAGTGCCAGCCACAGGCCAGTGCAAGTGGTTTTTAGTTCGGTGTCAAGATTTGAGTTATCCTGGCGAGGCACCACTTCGCTCCTACTGCTTGGTTGCTGGAAACCACTACATTCTATCAATTTAAAAACAGAAAATGGAGAGGCTGAGCCATACCAGAGTAGGAAATGGACCGAGTCTCTTCGAGCATCTTGCAGACCTCCTAAGCACTCTCTGAAGTCCTAAAGAAATGCTGATCGGTCCAACACAAAACCTGCATGAAATCCACACTCCCTGCAGCAGTCTTCTTCCCCACTGTCACGAACTCCGGCGGAGCTGTTTTAGAATGCTCAAATCATACATCTTCAACGTATTTTTGCGTGCAAACTTCACAAAAGAAAAACTCTTAGCCAACCTGCAGAAAGCCAATTTGTTCTCAGAATAAAGTAGCCACCATTTTAATAGAAAAAATGGGTGTTTAGTTATCAGATTCAATCCCAGTATCAAAATTCTGGAGCACACATGAGAGAAGAAAGAAAGAAAGCTGAGAACTAACCCGTCATTCTTCTCCTTGCCTCATCCGCACACCTACCTTCTTCCACTACTCGTTGTCCACAGCACAGGCACCTCCACTGTCTTCTCGACCTTGCCCATAGGAAATTCGTTTGGTCATGGGATTAAGTAAAAAAAAGAAAATAGAAGAGTAGAAGGAAGAAGAGGCAAAAGTGGGAAACTAACCCCTAACAAATCCACGCCCGGCTCCTTCAATCCCATCTTGACCCCAACACTTCGAACCCAAACGTCGCCTGCTCTCCTTCCCCTCATACCAATCGAATCTTCGCTTCCCATATTCCTTCAGTCGATCCCGACGACCTTATTCGGCATTAAAGCAGTCTTCTCAGTCCTCTCTCTATGGCGGCAATGATTCTTCAGACTGGATACAGAGAGTATGAGTCTGGAAATAGTCGATGGTGCGGAATGGAATTTCATCTGCTGGTGGTGGTCGAGTTTCACCAGAGAAGAGAAGGCTCTCTAAAACAGAGGAATAAGGCGAGGACTACAGAAAGCATGGGCTGTGGCGTGTGGAGATTGATGGAGAGAATATGAGTCTTCCCGTGGCAATCTTGAAAAGAGGTGGCGTGCTGGAGTAGGTGTCCAGAGCTCGTCACATCAAGGAGTAGATCGGAGAGATGAGGGGACGGGAGGAGATTGAAGCGGCGATACACGATTGCAGAATTTGGGGTAAGACGTAAGAGCATGAGGGGACGGGGAATACGGAAAGCATGGCATTTTGGGTTCAAAATCTTTTGAGGTTTCTGGGCAGTAGCCATACGCTAGATGGGACCGGCTGGGGATAGCTGTACTGGAAGCATGGCCGGCGGATTCTCGAAGGTCAGGCGTCGTCGGTTCGGAGACGGCAACTTGGTAGGGACTGGATGTGATAAGTTGAAGAAGCGTTTTCCAGTAAACGACAAAAAATGAAACAGTAAAGAGCAGTTTTGCCAATAAAGCGTACCCACCTTTCATATTTTAAAGAATAATAAGCTTTCGGGTCCCATCTATTCCCCTGATGCCACACAGAGAGAAAGATTTCAGCTGCACCACAGAACATGAAAGGTAAAGGCTCTTTGTTAAAGCTTCCATTATTGTTACTCTGAAGGATTGGGTTGTCGAGAAGTCGGGTCCTCACATCAAGCAAATTTACTAAGTGCTCGGCGACTGCCCGCGGCTAGCTAATATACCAGCTGCGTGGTTACAATTCTCTCTGTAAGTGTGGGAAATGGATCATTCTGTAAGGGAGTGCTCGATCGTGAGAATGCTCCATGTTGTTTGTGAATCGAGATTGATCATTGACAGACTGAGATCCAGGGAAAAGAGAAGTCCACTAAATATCGAGTTTTGTTTCACAGGAACTATTATCTCAATGGGTAGTAAGCAGGTAGCATACACTTCAAAGGCTGATGAACTTTAGTTGTTCCAGCATCATGAAGATGGAACTCACTTTGCTCAAGCATCATAGCACAACATGTAATGCAATTAGCCACAAGATCCCCAGAACAAAACACACACCTTATCCACGGTTACTCGTGAGTTCAGAACTACTCATACTGCATGTCAGATTGAGATTACTCCCCGACCGTCCGATACAGGTTCCTTTTCACCTGGTAATTTATTTGGTGAAGGTGCCAGGTTGACAAGCTGCTTTTCCTATACATGGACACTTCAAATTTGACCATGGTTCATCAATAATCCACAACAGACCTTTCTCAACTGAACTGTCTCAGGCCGTGGCTGAGGAACTAGACCAGTTTATAATGCCAAGATAGTACAATAACTAGACATGCGTGACAAAAAGAGTTTAGAATTGGAGAAGCTACTGTATCTGTATGGGCTTCTCTGGAACTGGAAGTGAGTTTCAGGAGTAAACAGAACTCCTGTACTGTTTTGAGACAGCTAGCTGGAGCTCTAAAGCAAAGCGAGTTCTGGCCCCCTTCTGGGAACTTGCAATGCCTAAGGTATATGCTTTCACTGCTTCGGCGACAGACAGACAATCCAAGTAGGGAAATGCAAGGCATTCTTATTCATTCCAGCAAACACTCTAGTTCCAATCTACCACGCTAAAATTACAATTGCAATTGCAATTGCAATCGCAAAGGGGAATTGCCTCATGGTTTGGCAATCAAACCAGGACAAACAAAAAGTAGGGAAATGCAGACAATAGATTCGGCAACGAACAGACAATCGAAGTAGGGAAATGCAGGGTATTCTGATTCATTCTAGAATTCCAATTGCACAAGAAACACAATCAACAGCAGCGTATGTAGTTACGAGTATCATCATCCCTTCCGATTCATGAGGGCAGAAAGCCCCAAACCCTATAATTTCAACTAAAAATTGCAACTGCAATTGGAAAGGACAAGTGCATTATGGTTTCCTTAAATAAGCTTGATGATCCAATTGCACACAACTAACACAATCAACCGCGGTACATATAGTTATGAGTGTCATCATCCCTTAATGGCAGAAAGCCCCCAAACCCTCTAATTCCAATCTAGAACCCTAGAACTGCAATTGCAAAAGCAAAATTGCAACTATGGTTTGGAGAATCCAACCAGGAAAAAACAAAAAGCAGACATTTTTCACCTCAAATAAGCCGGGATCTTAATGCGGATGAAGAGCATACTCATCACATAGGCAAGCACGATGGATGAAACCCCAGCGGAGGCGTACGAAACCTTGACGCTCTTCGCCCGATTCTTGTCCAGCGCGAGATCCAAGAGAATGATCCCGACACCGCCGAGGACGAACATGAAACCGGACGACAAGCCCTCGATGATGTACTGCCCGTTGACTCTGCCGGACATGAAGACGATGGGCCGTACTGTGCCGGTGACTGGGTCCTGGGTCGATCCGATTCCCGGCGGCTCGACGATGACGTCGTAGACGATGCCGGAGACGACCATGAAGTAGGTGAGGAGGACGAGGGAGAAGACCGTCATCGGGGAAGGGAGGCTGAGGGATGGGAGCTTGAGGCGGAGGCGCGGCGCGCGGAGGAACGAGTAAGGGAGGATTCTGATGAGGTGGAATGCCGGATCGATTGAGCCGTTTGTGGGTTCCGATTGGAGAAGGCTCTGCTGCGAATCTGATGATTTGGGCGCCATTTCCACTGGCGAGAGTTGGGAGTGCTGAGATCTAGAGGGAGACGAGCAACAGTGAATGAGCAGAAGGAGAAAGATGTTATATATATGGAGGTGGGACGGCCAATGGCATTCCTGTAATTTTGACTGTATTTCTCAACTGATTTACTCCATTTAATACGTACTAGAAAATTGGCCCGCGCTCTGCGGCGGGTTATCGAAAATAAGTCGATCGATTAATATTAAAAAGTATATTGGTGTACTTAGAATCGTAATCAACTTTTCAATTTCTTTAGACTTCCTTGGAGATGATCTTGAGTTAAATAACTAAACTTATATTTATACAACATGAACTTAGATTGAATAGTTGAATATATAATAGTAGAGTTGATATTTTCTAAATAATAATAATAATTTTTTTTTGTAGAATCTAAATAATTATTGATGAGACCATATTGTACTTGGATATATTTATGTTTATAAATAAGTGGTGTTTGAACCTTATACACTTACAAAATGTAAGAAAATATAATCTTTACCCTTAAGTTTACCCCATGACTATTTGATGTTTATTTTTTGGCCTTTTTCAAAAGCTGCCATATATTATCTGATAATTAATAATTCTAGTAGCTTCAATATGAATAGGATACCAGAATGATGTTAATTATTTGTTAATATTTTTTGGGCTAAATTGCAAGTTTGGTCACTCGAATTGCTACAAAATTTCACGTTTGGTCACTCGAATTCGTTTATTCCATTCGTAGTCACTTAAATTAGTTGAAAAGTCCAAGTTCGGTCACTCTCCGTTAACCTCCGTCAGACTCCGTTAGTGCCGTCAGTTAACTGCTGACGTGGCTAACAGAGATGCCTAGTCACCCAATTTTAACCCAAGAAAAAACAAAAATTAACCCGCCACGTCAGAAAAACATGCCACCTCATATAAACACAACCCAACCCACGCAACCTAAAAAACCATTAACCCACCCAGAAATCGAACCCGTGACCCATCCACCCTTCTTCTTCTTCCTCTACACCCTCTTACGCCGCCGCCGAGATTTCCCAAGAAGGACCGGCGTAGCTGCGGGAGCGACGAGGGGGGCGGGAGATGGGTGTGGAGAAGGATCAAGAGGAGATGGGAGAGTAGGAATTATGTCGGCGGCGGCGGCAGAGGGAAAAGGAGGGATCTACATTCCTTTGATACTAAGTACTATTGAGAAGATCAGAAGATCCAAGGAGAGAGGTCAGAATTAGTTGATATCTTGTTCTTTGTTCATGCTTTGTGGTCCGTTCGTGCTGTGGAAAAGAACTGAAGGGTGTATGAGTTTTGATTGATTCCATTGGCACCATAAATGGTCTGAGATTTAAAATGATTAGATTTACATTGAGAAGAAATCGGCTAGAGAATCACCATGGCTGTTGCTGGTAACGAAGAAATCCGGCTTGGGAAGAAATCCGGCCGCAGCTTCTTGAAACTGGAGGTAACGAAGCTGCGGAACCGGCTGTCGTTTGATTTTGTGGTGTGAAAAACACAATGGAAGGATAACGTCGCCACAGTTGGAGCCATCTCCGAGAGAGCACGCTCGTTCTGGCATCAGCGGGCTCTCTAAACTCCAGGCGATGAAGGATGCAGTGAACGATTTCTTCGGGAAGTTGGGCGAGCGGGGGGAAATCCCCCCGGCGGCGGCGGAAGCAGGGTGTAGAGAAGAAGAAAGGTGGATGGGTCACAGGTTTGATTTTTGGGTGGGTTAATGATTTTTTTAGGTTGGGTGGGTTGGTTTGTGTTTATATGAGGTGGCATGTTTTTCTGACGTGGCGGGTCAATTTTTATTTTTTCTTGGGTTAAAATTGGGTGACTAGGCATCTCTGTTAGCCACGTCAGCAGTTAACTGACGGCACTAACGAAGTCTGATGGAGGTTAACGGAGAGTGACCGAACTTGGACTTTTCAACTAATTTAAGTGACTACGAATGGAATAAACGAATTCGAGTGACCAAACGTGAAATTTTGTAGCAATTCGAGTGACCAAACTTGCAATTTATCCCATATTTTTTGGGTAGAATCTTTGTCAATATTTAATAAACATGTTTGATCACTAACCTCAGCTAAATACATATTTGGTTTTGTAGTGGTTAGAGAATTAATTAGAGTATACATTAACCTAGCTAATGTGATGATCATTTCATATTCTTCAAAGCTATATTGTGAATTATGCATATACACATTCATAGTTTTTCTCAACTCTCTCTTATCAACTTATTGCTCTTTTTTAGTGTGCATACAACCAAGTGTCATTCTCTAATTGTTAGTGTGCATACATTTGTAACTCATGCACATATGAAAGGAATCTGTGGGCAACAGCTGGAGCTCCGAGCAAAGAAATTTTTTTTTAAAAAAAGCTAATGTGAGATAATCTAAAGTAAGTGATGAAAATGGATTGGATGGGCATTCCACATTCGACAATCCCAGTACTAATTGCTCATAGCCTTCCTCTGAACTTGCAATATTGATCCCTCTGAACCCCAAACCGCCAACCGGTGCTCCCTAAAATTTTAAGGTGGGAACTTGATGCTTCAGGTATGAGCTTATCGAGGAGTTGATGGTTCATAGGAGTTGTAGCGGGTTGAGGTACTATTCGCTTTGATTTCATAGGAGTGAGGATTATAGGTGGAGGAATAATTTTGCTTCAACTGACATGGCCATCGGCAACACACCTGGGATCAGGAAGGGAAACAAAAACTTGCTATATATACGATTTGGGGAGAAGGGGAAGGATAGAAGACCAGTGGAGCTGCAAGAAGACACCCCAAGGAACATCTCGGTCGGCTTTTGCTTCTCAACCCGCTCTACTTCTCACGGATTAAGAAAGGGAAACATCACTGCTATTTGTCCATCCGCCAATTAGAAGATGGGAGGAGGAGTAAATCCGGCAATCCAACCAGCCTTCTAGGAATCGTCGGACGAGAGGTAGGGGAAAGACGCGGGTGCATAAAACTTACTGCGTAATCTGTCTGTATCCGTTCTTCGCCGGCTAGCTCTCTTGCCCAATCGCCAGGGGATCGACGGAGGGGCTCACCGACCTGGTAGTGGAGCCGCCCGTATCTGCCGCGATGGAGATGATGGGATTATCCGGCAATTCAACTTGGCCAATCGCCAATCGATCGTCCAAGGGAAGAAACGGAGTTTAAGGATAGTGATTAATGAACGGGCCGGGTGCACAATAGTTACTGTGTGTTTGCGAGCAGGGTAGTAAACTCCTTAAGTATACTCGCGGCTTTATTATACTAATAATATATATAGACGAAACACATACAAAATTCGTATAACACGATTAGTATCCGTATTTAATGAATTAAATTAATAATTTAAACATTCTTTAGACATTATTCGGGACTTGAGTACCTAGGGGAGGGGCTTCCTCGTCATACATTCCCTCTCTTTTTTAAAAGGCTGATGGCTTTAATTCATCAGCCGGCTCTTTTTATGGGAATGGTGGCGGTCCTTTGGCGAATCTGGCGGTCACGGAACTGGGTGGTCTTTGAAGGTAAGCAGTTTGGGATTCCTGCTTTGATGCGCCAGTTTGCCCAGCAGTATGAGGAGTGGGTGCGCCTTCTGGTGGATAAAGCTCTTCAGGCCCCAGATCCTTTATCGCAGCAACCAGGGCTGGAGCTTCAGGCTGGGGTTGTGTGCATGTGGGATAGGGCTACTAGGAGCGGGTCTCACTCGGCGGGGGGATTGGTTTTGATGACCCCTTCTCGGGCGGTCCTACTGGCTAAAGGGGTCCAATTTCCGATAATTGATGACCCCATGGTGGTGGAACTGCTTGTCCTTCGCGAGGGTATTCTTTGGTGTCTAGAGTAGGGCTTCACGGACGTCAGATTTGAAGGGGATGCCAAGGTAATCATCGACAAGATCCTGAAGGCTGATACTAGGGATAACCGGATGGGTGCGATTCTGGAAGAAGTGGTGTTGGGTCTGTCCAGTAACCCGGGGTTCAGTGTTCGATTTGTAGGTCGGAGTAGTAATAGGGTAGCCCATTTGGTGGCTCGAAATACCCTTTCTTTGTACCCGACTACGAGTCGTTTTTTCGATTTTCAGTCCTGGCTGATCTCCAGGTTGTAATTGCCTATTTTTTGAATCAATATATGATTATCTTTTGTCAAAAAAAAAACTTATTCTAATTAACTTCACATCGTTTATAGCTATTAACGTATTATTAGACGTGTAATTAATTTAGAAATGAAGTAAAATGATTAACTATACGAAACTTAGCCATATCATATTTTATTAACTATGATTCGAGATAGTCATAGCAATCAAACCCACGATCGCAATCGCGTCAACATGAAAAATTCCTCTTAGAATGTGTATGAGTAAAATCTACGAAAATTTGACGAGATGAGATGGGTATGGTTTTAGCAAGAACCATTGTAACGTCTACTCTCCATTGTCGAACACAGAGTGGGCTTTCCGCTGTCCCTGGATATAATAAGTCACAAGTAACTGAAAGAAAAACTACTGCTGTCAGTCAATTACACAGATTCCTCCCCATATTCATCATTACTAGCGTCTCCTCCGTTCTCTTCGCTCAACCTGGATTTGTCTTTCCATGATGCTCTCTAAGGCACTGTTTGCGACGAATACTTGACATTCTGCAGATTAAGATTCGTGAAACCAGACATGCCACCGATTGCAATCGATATACCGAAGACGCCGGGATTCGATCTGAATATGTAGTAGTTCCCCAGCAGGACAATGCAGGCCTTGAACTGACAAAGAACGACATGGGAAACAGTCGATGTTGCCATGATCAACAAATTCATCAAACAGTGTTATTAACTTATTATCAAGCTAGCCAGGACGAGAAACCTAAACGTGACTGGCTGCAGAATCGTGGAACTCAAAAATCAAGAGAAGATCAAGAACATCAAACAGAGTGCATCATTACGTTGAATTCAACCAAATGAGATCGCTATCCAGGACTATTGTGCACAAAATAAAAAACATTGTTGTAAAACATGAAAGGGTACGCTTTTTCACCCCAAGACCCCATACACTGTTTCAATTCTTGGCGTATAGCGCCCAAGTAGGGGAGAAGCTCCTCCAACACAATCTCTTCCCTCGCAGTCGTACTCCTATACCACCTCGGCACTCAATCCAGCAGCCGCAAGTCGCCGTCCATACTCCACATTCAGCGCTACTGTGGCCGTACCTTGCCTGCGCTCAGTTTCCCCCGAAATCAAGCATTCACCGGTCATGTCTATCTCTTCGCCGTTCCATTCTGCTATCCCCAATTTTCCCATTCCCTTAACCCCTGCCCACTGGCTCGCTCACGCAACCGCCCATAATTTCTGCACCGCTTGCTTTCCTTCACTCTGTGCAGAGAAAATTGATTGCTTTCTTCTCGCCCAAATCGTCCTCTTCGGTTCCACCTCTCATTCTATTCTTTTGCTTCCTCTTTCTCCCCGTCACAGCCACAGCCGACCGGCAAATCCGCTCAGCCGCTGTTGCCTCTTCTACTTGCCGCCATGAATCATATCGTCCTCTCCAAGCTGGCATGCCCGATGCGAAGGTCCTGCTCTCAAATTGCGCCTCCTCCGTACATGGATGGCTGGGAACCCTTCCGGCCCGATGGGTTCTCTGAATACGCGAAACTTTGGATGGACGAATTGGTGAGTTCTCTCCACTTTTGATTTTTGCTTGTCCGCGCATGTGCTTGCTCTTCCTGATTCTGCCCTTCCCTCTTCTTCTGCCAGGGGGTGCTGGTACAGGGGCTTGCCTCCAAGCATCTGTCGGATCAATTGAAAGAGGTTCTTTCTATTGGGAAGATTTGCTTCGTCACACAGTTCTCCCAACGCGAGGCAAAAAAACACGGAGGCAGGAGATAGAGGTGTTGAGATCACCGAGATTTTGCCGCAGTGTGACGATGTGGTGAAAGGGTGATTGGATTGACTCACTACAACAACAACCGTTTGTTAAGGTAGGTTGTTCATGAGTTAGATAGTTTTGTGAAAGTGAAAACCTTTAATGATTTACTACTTACGATCATCGGTTAGTTCTTTCGTATTCAAGGGACGGATGAGATACACAAGTGAGGGACGCCAGGAAGAAGGTGAAGACGTCATACTAGAGAAGAACAAACCAAGAAAAAACCGAAGGAGAAGAAATCCATGAAAGAATTTGCGGATCTGAAATGGGAAGTTACAAAGTAGGAAGGAACTTTTAAATCGCTTAGGTCTTCTTCCATATGTACATTTGCTGGATTATTTATTGAACTTGGTCACTCTTTCATCGTGTTTTTTTCCTTCTTTCAGGCGCCAATAACACAGTCGACCTGTCTTAGGTGTTGTTGCAGGTTATTGCGCAAGCGAATTGCAGATTTTTTGGCAGTTCTCAAGTTTGTTTATTTTTATGTACTCTTAAGGAAGGAGGAGACTTGCTGCAACAGCTTAGCAGCAGAAATAGAAAAATCAGGACTGAGTGACTTATAGTGAGAGAGGGAGAATGAATGCTGGGAGGAGGAAGATGTGAAGCAGAAGACTTGGTAGAGGAGGAGAAAGAGTCGCACACAACAACCAACATTTCATTGCCTACTCGCTTGAACTTCGAAGTTCTGGTACTTCGCCCTCTCATCACTGTTGCTGTTGTTTCTCCATAATGAATGAACTGAAATGCATTAGAGGAAGGAAAAAAATAGCTTTGGCAGTCTTGGGTATTGGAACTCAAAGTTGGGATGGAGTTCTGGTGTGGGTATATTATAGAATAAGGAGGAAGCAACTTGAGGTGTTCGTTTGATATGTACGAATGAGAAAAAAACACAGACAGATAGACGATTGCAAGCCTTCTCTCTGCCTGCAGCTATTTGTTTTGTTCAAATAAAGTGTCTGGCGAAATAAAGAAACCTTACAAAGAAAAGAAAACGCTAGGTGCATTTTGTGATTAGTTAATCTCCTGAAATTTGTTGCAATTTTGCTCTTTTGGTTCGTTTTTCTCCAGCCTTGGTAGGTTTTGGTGAGCTAGGGAATAAGTGAGGGTCAAGAAAGAACACATAGAAGGATGACCCATCCACGACGGACAGACATGAACCCTGCTGATACTTGCATTGTTCCTTTTCTTTGCCCCTGCTTTCGATTGCTTCGTTTTCTCAATTATTTCTTTAGCTCTATATTGTTACCATTCTCAATACATTAAGGTATCTATGCTAGCTGATAATGGATACTGTCAAGTGCATTAGGTCACATCCAAGACTAAACTAACTCGAGGCTTTGGCTCTACCTTTTTGCTCTGGTGGTTCATTGTTTACTATGGATTCAACTCATTGATGGACATGATTCATTATTTTCTATTACAGAAGGACATACATTTTCTCTGTTCCATCGACTGAAAAACTTGGATGTGATGGAGCAATTACAGAACTCTACTAGACTGGAAATTTGCTTTAGATTGTGGTGGACGGTGGCAGTGGTTAGGGTATTGTGGGTTTGACAACGGTGGTGGTTCTGCAGTTAGACCATCTTTTGGGAACAACAGGTAATTACTGTAGTTCTTGGCTGCACTTCATCCCCAACTATATCTTCCTCTCATCCCCAACTGGGAGCTTCTCATTGTTGTCTCATTAGTAATAGCTTCAAATTTGTTTATACAGGCCAACACATGTGCATAAAGCACCTACTTGACAACTGCAACGTGATAGAAATGTTGGATGAGGTGTGCACAGACCAAGGAAAGGAGTTGAAAGAAATGGCGGTGAGATACTCGGTTTGAAGCCTCAAATTTGCCAAGGTAGAAGGTCAAAGGCAGCAATTGGTCTTGATTGTGTGTAGTAATTATGGGTGATTACTTAACATTGAAGTCTAATGCATAATAGACTAGCTTTATACGAGTTTTATGATACCTGTTTTGATGGAATTAATGTTTCATAAATAAAAGAGAATTGAATCATCTTGCTTAATTGGAATTTATAAATATTAAATAGTCCACGTGGCGTAGCCGTGGGTGTTGATTCTAGTATTACAAAAATTGGAGCAAACATTCTCTCAAGCAAAACATCATAACAAACAGCAATGGAAATTTATCAGTTTTCTAAAAGCAGACTGCAGTATGACTGGTTTTCCTGCCTTGGTAAAGGCAATAATAAAGCTCTGCAATTCAAAATGACAGCAGTGATGTTGAAAATTTTTCTCTTGTGAAACAAGTTTGCGACTTGAAGAGCAGATTGTCTCGTCCAGCCGACCATCGTACATTATTGGCAGCCTAGCACCACCACATGAACAGTCATTGCTCAATTAGGGCAACAAAGGGACCTGTTAAAGCAAAGTTTCAACAGCAGAGGAGCCTGGCCTGCCAAAAGGGGATAAAATGCGGTTACCTATCCGGTTGGAGGCTCGACTGCACTCTCCTCAACTTGTACATAAAAGCTGCTACAATTTCCTCATCATCGACCTCCACAAGAGGCCGTCAAATTTACCCATTCCCCCTTTCCTCATCATCGACCTCCACAAGAGGCAGTCAAATTTACCTCTTCCCTCTGGGGATACATACAATGAAAGAAACCTCTCAGCAAGGATTGAATTACACAAGTGACAGTGCTAGCAGAGATGGAAAAACTCAATAGTCAATATGTAACCATTGATGTCATAGTATGTATATAAATCAAAACAGTACCATGAAAAATGCTAAAGACAGATTTTATGATGAGTTTGCATAGAAGATTTAATTCATTTTAACTAAGTGGATACAAAAGTGAATCTCATGGATGAACCCTACCTGTATCCTGAACCATCTCTTTGTTCAACAGTACGCATGGGACGTGGGAGATGTTGGGCCAATCTTCCTGCTTACACCTTTCTGTCAACAGTGCGCAATTGTCGATGTCCAAGAACTGTAAAGAGGTGAGGCGTCGCATCGCTGGAGGCAGGGTTGCTAATTTTGGACAATCATGTATCTCCAAGTCTATGAGAGAACTGAGGTGACAGAGGCCTTCTTCTGGTAGAGATTCCAAGTCGTAGATATGCCAAAGCTTCAAGTGCGTCAACTTAGAAAGCGGAGCGACAAGGGCAGTCCTCGGCAACGAAGAGCTAGAAGAGGGAGCGTCGGTGGTGGTGCTTGTTGTTGTTGTTGTTGCCGAAGTAGTAGAATGTTGCTGAGAGTCGAAATGATGATGAGCCGCTACTGGTTTCATCTTCATTGTGAGCTCTAGTGCCTGTGAGCTCGTTCCTACCAACGTCAAGTTGTCTTCAGCGGTTGGAAACAGAGGCATCAGAGTCAGCATTGGGCAACCTGTGATTTGCAGTCTGGAAAGACGAGGGAATCGGGGCCAGTACTCCTCCATCTCCTCATCGTCTTGTTGGATTAAAGGGTCGAAGTTATAATAATGATCATCACCATCATCCTTGTGATTATCGTTATCATCATTCCCCGCCGTCTTCTTCTTTTTCTTCCACCAACACCCCTTCAGCCGAAAACAGTACTCAACGTTTAGCCCCCTCAAAGATGGGAGTTCATGTAGGGGTGGCAGGTACTCTATAGTTATGCACCAAGATAAAAAGATCTCCGTAAGGTATACACTGGAACACAACGAACTTGGTAACTTCTTGCCTTGTATGCATCTCTGAACCTTCAACTCCTGAAGAGAGACCAGACAGCTGCTCAAATCAGGACCAGATATGGATTCAAGATCATCTTCGACCCTTTTTAAGGTTAACTTGGTCAACTTGGAGAGAGGGTGGACCGACGTTGAAGAAGAAGGGATAAGAGGATGGATATTTGTAGTATCACAGGCATATTCATTGGAATGTCCTTCTCTTCCTCTCCTCATCTTCATGGTCCTGGAAAATGGAGCCAAGCTCACGTTTTCTAACACAAGCTTGCCTTCGACCGTAGGGAAAGTGGGCAACCGGATTAGGCTTGGACAATTCCGAATGCGCAAGTAGGAAAGGTTGTGAAACCGAGGCCACTCGTCATGATCGTCGTCGTTATCGATGCCCTTCAACAATGGACAGTTCTTAATTGCAAGCTTCCTTAAGCTCGACATTTGATGCAATGGCGGGAGGTCCTCACATCGCTTGCAATCTTTCAATACGAACTCGACCAAATTCGTGAGGCCAGACAACCAGATCGGAAGCTTCGCGCCTTCGAAAACATCGTGTATCCTCAATTTCTTCAAATTAGAGTGTGTTGGCTGAAGCATTTCCAGTATCCCTTCATCGCGATTAGACAAGAAAGTAACGTCATCAACTTTGTCATCAGATGAGCCCAAATACAAATTGAGGGACTGCAGATGTGGCTTCTCCTTCAAGACATAGCAACCTTGTCTTGGAGAGTCGGCATTTGCCAAGCCTTTGATGGTCAACTCTCCATACAATGCATTCAACCCTTTCAACTCATCCAACCCTGCCCCCTGCCTCTGGTGATTACCATTGTTGCTCCTTTTGCCTACCGCAAACACCGGTAATGTTCGAAGGAACTTCAACCCTCCAATCCCTTTTGGCATATGGGTCAAATATGCTGGACATACCGGATCGAGCTCGAGATGCTTCAAATCAACAAGCTTCTTGGTATCCCTTGGTAGTTCTTCTAGCCACTTTCCATCGATGAGCTTAAGCACTTGCAGGTTAACCAAGTTGGTAATAGAGTTTGGAAGCTTTTTCCATTCAGTGCAACAGAGAGCAAGATATCTTAAATGCATCATTTTATCAAAAGAAATCGGTAATGTTGAAGCATCCAAGACAGAGCTGTCTTCACCAAAATTAGGGTTTCTTTTAGCAATGATCAGCACGCGCACACGTAACAAGTTATTAAGCACTTGCTCAAGTTCATTGTTTGAAAGAGATTTGAAACATATAAGAGTCCGTACCTTGCTTATGTTTCCCCACCCATCACCACAATCTACTGGTTCATCACTATCGTCAGCTGATATTGTCAAGTGACGAGTCTTCAAAGGAATATTTTTTAGAATAGTTAAACTTGAACTTCTCACGATCTTTTCTCCCGCTACTGAATCTGCTAAATCATGCATTAAATCATGCATTCTGCATGTTGAGATAATCCCCAATTCATCCACCCACACCTCTTGGAAAAATGACCTCCACCACAACGTTTTGAAGCAGTCGAAGCCTCTATCTTCGGACTCAATGTACCCTTGTGCAACCCAAAGTCGGACCAACGTTTGAATATCAAATCGAAAACCCTTCAGAAACAACTTACAATAAGTAAAGCAATGTTTCATGTGGGAAGGGAGATGATTGAAGCTGAGCTGGAGAGCTGACATAATAGGATCTTCTTCTCCTCTCATGACGCTTGAAAGACCCTTTTGAAGAAAAGATGGCCACTGGGTGCTCGGATCTGTCGAATCTACTAACACGCCAGCTATGGTGCTCACGGCAAGAGGAACCCCATGACATTTCCTCAATATTTGTTTACCAATTTCTTGTAATTGTGGGTCTTGCGGGACTCCTTCTGGGAGGGCCTTTTTCACCAACAAATTCCAACACTCTTCTTCTGACAATCCTTTCAAGTAATAAGATTTCACGATGCTGGTACTTGTTTCGGACTTTAGAGCTCCAACACCAACCTCTGCCACTTTAGTGGATCGAGTAGTTACCAACACTTTGCTTCCAGGAGCACCAACCGTCAAATACTTACCCAAAGTCTCCCAACTTCGACCTGTCTCCTCCCAAACATCGTCCAATACGAACAAAAACCTCTTGCCTTTGATTTTTTCTCGGAGTTGAGCTTGCAAATCGTCCAACTCAGGACCCGCTTGAGCATCACGGTCTATTGATCTCAGCATCTTTTCGAGAATCACTTTAACGTCAAAACTCTGTGAAACATAGACCCAACCTTTGATATCAAAGTGGCTGTTTGCTTGATCGTCATCGTATACAAGCTGAGCAAGAGTAGTCTTCCCCAGTCCGCCCATCCCAACAATTGGTACAACTGAAATGTTGGATTCAGAATTGGAATTCAGCAATAATCCAATGATATTCTTCTTGTCATCTTCCCTCCCAACAACAATTGTGGGTGGGCAGGAATCAGTCTCCCTGCTGGAATGAAGAGTTTCGCCCTCCTCGACAGAATGAACTTCCAGATGCAAGGTCTCCTTGTCTTTTGATATATCATCAAGCTTCTCTCTGATTGCCTTGATAGCATTCGCCATCGTAAGATCGTACCACAATTGTTGTGGAAGTGAGGAGCACAGAAAGCATACCAAACTCCAACAAGTCGTTGCTGTGGTCCTTCTCCTGTCACCACCACCACCACCACCATCATCTGTTGTTGTTGCTGCCGCTAGCATGGCCTTTCTGCGAGCCGCAGTAGAGAAATCATCGAGCAGATCGTCGGCATCATACATGACGTCAGAGAGCTTCCCGAGCCAGTCTTTGACCTGGTGATTGCGGAATTGCTTCTCTTCTGCGTCATGGAGCACGGCCTGGATTCTGGAGACCGTGTCCTTCAACTTACGAAGCTCGCGCTTGAAATTCCACAGGAGTCCAATCTGCTCCAAGGCCAAGTCGGTTGCCTTGGCAAAGATTTGTTTTGCAACGGGAATCAGAAAGATGTCAGCATCCATCTCAGGGTAATGGAGGAAACAAAAGGAAAAGGCAGGGGAGCTGGAGCAGGAAAGTAAAGAGGGGAAAAAAACAGTGCACCAACAAGGCAAGATCAAAATCAAAAGTGAGGGACGAATGAAAAACAGGGTATCAGAACGATTTCAGAATAAAATTGAGGGAAGAAATAACGGGGCCAAAGCGAGAGTGAGACTGTAAGGGGGAAACAGGAGAGTAAGAGAAAGATAAACTAAACAGCCAGAAAGGAAACAGGGAAACGAAAGAGCAAGAGGGAATCAAGAGTGAGAAAACAGGGGAGAAAGAGCAAATCGGGCGATCAACAAAAACTGGAGCTTTGGCAGAATTAAGATCTCCAAATGGGATTTGATCGAACGATTCATCCATCTCACACCTAACCAATTTGATATTGTATCTTGCCACAACATGTGAAAGCAATAGCATAGAACAAGACAAATTCAATTCATTAACAAAGACTTGGGAAGAAGACCATTTACCGAATATTGAATTTCCCGGGAATCCTGCTTGGAAGCTCCTGCAACTACTGTCCATCTCCATCTCTCACTCTCTGCTGCTTCTAGAAGAAGAAGAAGAAGAAAGAGGGAACTATACAGTAGCTTGGTGACTGGAACAGACTGACTGCCAACCCAACAATCCTTCTTTGTCTGATGAATTGTTGAAAACACCATACCGCAGGCTTCAAGTTGGGCTGCTGACGAGTGCCCATCTACCCAAAATGAATATTGTTTGTTTTGTCCCTTCCTGAAACTTCCTGTCTTGGGCGGCAAAATCAATTAACTACGGAAACAAAGCAGACCAGAGTCTCAGTGAGACGACAATTAGATCTAGGTAAGGAGTAAACTGAAGGCATCTGGTCCAAATAAGTTGACTGGAATCTGGTTGGTCTTTTAGCAACTATTATTATTGTACAACACAGTTTCTAGGATTTCATGGATGTCCCTTCGAAATCGGTGTATTCTCAGTCTTAAGGGGACGCTTAGCCGCGGAAATCTGACCAACAAGTGGATTGACTTTAATTTCCACGTTATAGAAAACCTGAGAATTGTCAATCGAAAATTGACCAAAAATTCCATGTTTGCAATGAGTTCAAGAATGTGGAAATTGATGACGTGGGATATGGTTAAAGTAGCAATTTACCTTTTCCTATGTGAATTTGTAATCAACATCATGTCTAAAATGTTTGCTTGTAACGAGCACACAGCTTCAAGGAAAATCAATCCCCAATTCTCGTTCCAAATCCTCAAACTGAAGAAACCAATTTGCACAAGTTTTTATTGAATTAAAAAGAAGTTATGAGTACAATGCACAAGCACCCTCAAACCCCAAGTTTTTATCATTTAGCTATCACGACTAGCACACTGCAACTCTCCTCAAGCTTGCCTGACTTCTGCTCTCATTAAATAAACAGAAAACATAACACCACAGCACAGCACAGCACAGCAGCAACAAATAGCAACGACAAATTAGCACAAACAGTCAAAAAGAATACACATTAGCACAACAACCGCAACGCAACATAGCAGCACAGCAGCAATAAAATAAAACCACCTACCTCTTCATTCCAAGCTCCAACCATCGAAAGGGCAAAAAGCCATTGGCTTTTCAGTTCATAAGCTGCTTGCTTCTCAAGCTCAAATAGACCAAGTAGCTGAAATTCCATCGGCATAGCTCGTCGATTGCCTCCACATTTGTGGAGTTTACCAGCATACATTCTGGATCCAACAAAAACAATTTGAATTAGTACAAAAAAGGAGGTCTCATTTTAAGACTATTTGCACAACCAAGTTTCATGCAATTTTGTTCACCAAACTGACTTCAAACTACAAATTGAAATCAAGAATCCACAGCTAGAGCCTGACTCGACTAACGACAAACCGTTCCCAAATGCCCAGAAACCTTACTCGAAGTCTTAATCCCAGTGGGGTTTGCACTCCTGTAAGTCGTATCCATTGACCCTATTTAATCGACAAAGAGAATTCTCGGCCTCGCCCAGACTTTCGACCTGCTCTCGTCGATGTAATTAACTTTAAAGAAGCGGATGTGAAATCGATCTCATGAAAGGAACCCCGAACTTGGACCTTGGAGTGTCTTTCCATTGAGCTGGATGTATGGGATGTGAGAAATGTTGGGCCAGTCTTCCTCCTCACATCTTTCTAGCAACTGTGCAAAGTCCCAAATGCTTAAACTTTGTAAAGAGGTGAGGTGTTGCATTGCCGGAGGCAGACATGCTAGGCTTTGGCACCAGTATATCGATAAATTTTCGAGAAAGGTGAGGTTGCGGAGGCCTTCTTCTGGTAGAGATTCCAAGTCAGTCGCAACAAGGAACAAATGCTTCAACTTAGAGAGAGGAGGGACAAGAGAAGCACTCATCGATGAAGAAGAAGAAGTAGAATGTTGTGGAGAGTCAAGATAATGATGATCAACTACTGGTTTCATCTTCATTGTCCGCACTAGTGCCTGTGTGCTGGTAAACTGCAGCCTCAACTCGCCTTCAATGGTTGGAAATAGAGGCATCCGAGTCAGCTTTGGGCATTCTGTGACCGCCAACCTGGAGAGGCGAGGGAAATGCGGCCACTCCTCCGTCTCCTCACCTCCATTGTCCTCTCCATCTATATCCTTTGAAGGATCGAAATTATAATAATGAGCATCATTACCATCATCATCATCATCATTATTCCCCTTCTTCTTCTTCCACCAGCATCCCTTTAGCTCCCGACAATACTCAATACTTAGCACCCTCAGACATGGGAGTTCGTGTAGGGGTGGCAGGTACTCTATTGTTCTGCACTCATATAACAAGATCTCTGTTAAGCATATGCTGGAACACAACGAACCAGGTAGCTTCACACCTTGACTGCATCTAAGAACCCTCAACTGCCGCAGAGAGATGAGATAACTGCTCAAATCAAGATGCGGAAGGGATTCAAGATCATCATCGATTTTGTATAAGGTCAACCTAGTCATCTTGGAGAGGGGGTGGATCAAGACTGAAGAATAAGTAGAAGAAGCAGGAAGAAGAGGATGAATATTTGTATCATCGTATGCATATCCATCCGAATAATCAACACCACCTCCTCCTCCCCCTCTCCTCATCTTCAAGACCCTAGCAAGTGGTGCCAAGCTCACATTTTCCAACTCCAGCTCGCCTTCAACAGTAGACATGGGCAGTTGAGTTAGCATTGTGCAATCCTTAATGCACAAGTAGTCAAGACAAGGAAACCTAGGCCAATCACAATACTCTTCTTCCTCTATCGATGATCTTGTTGTTATGTTGTAGGTAGAAGACTTAAAATGATCAGCATCATTATCGATGCCTTTCAACAATGGACAACCTTCAATTTTGAGCTTCTTCAAACTCGACATCCGATGAAGTGGCGGGAGGTACTCACATTGCTTGCAATCTTTTACCAAAAACTCAACCAAATTTGTGAGGCCAGACAACCAATTAGGAAGCCTCGCGCCTTCATAACCAATGACCTCAAGATGCTTCAGATTAACAAGCATCCTAGTATCCCTCGGCAATTCTTCTAACAACCAAACATTCGTGAGCTTTAGCACTTGCAGATTTACTAAGTTAGTGACCGAGTTTGAAAGCTTTTTCCTTCCAGCACATTGAAGAGCAAGGTATCTTAAATGCTTCAATTTATCAAGAGAACTCAATAATGTAGAAGCATCAAAGATAGAACTTTCTTCACCATTTGAGTTTGAATGTTCTTCGGCAACGACCAGTATGCGCAGGCGTAAGAAGTTATTAATGACTTGCTCAAGTTCTTTGTTCGAAAGAGATTTTCCACATATAAGAGTTCGCACTTTACGTACACCTCGTTCCAGATCACCATAGTCCTCCACGCCCACATCATCACTGTTGTTATCCAATATCAACAAGTGACGAGTCTTCGAAGGAATACTTTTCAGAACGGTTGAAGTCGAACTTCTTACAATTTTTCCCGCCGCGATTGAATCAGCTAGATCGTGCATCAAATCGTGCATTCGGCATAGCGACATATTCCCCAGCTCGTCCATTTGCACCTCTTGGAAGAATGACCTCCACCACAACGTTCTGAAGCAGTCAAAGCCTTTATCGTCCGACTCGACGTACCCTTGTGCTACCCAAAACTGGACCAACAATTTAATGGGCAGTTCCAACCCCTTGGGAAACAATGTACAATAAGTAAAACAATGTTTCATATAGGAAGGGAGATGGTTGAAACTAAGTAGAAGAGCTGACTTAGTAGGATCTTCTTCTCCTTCTTTGATGATGCTCCAAAGGCCCTTTTGTAGAAAAGACGGCCAATCCGTCTTTGGATCACTTGAATCTACCAACGCACCAGCTATGGTGCTCACAGCGAGAGGAACTCCATCACATTTCCTCAATATTTGATTCCCGATTTCTCGAACTTGTGGGTCCCGTGGGACTTTCCTAGGGAGGGCCTTTTTCACCAATAAGTTCCAACACTCTTCTTCTGACAAGCCTTTCAAGCAATAAGGTTCCACAATGTTGGCATTTGTTTCCAACTTCAGAGCTCCACCGCCAACCTCAGCCACTTTTGTGGATCGAGTAGTCACCAGCACTTTGCTTCCCAGAGCACCAATCGTCAAATATTTTCCCAAAGCCTCCCAACTATGGCTGGTCTCCTCCCAGACATCATCTAATACGAATAAAAACCTCTTGCCTCTGATTTTTTCTCGGAGTTGAGCTTGCAAATCATCCAACTCGGAACCAGCCTGAATTTGACGATCTATTGATCGTAGCATCTTGCCAAGAATCACTTTGACATCAAAGTTAAGTGAAACATAGACCCAAGCTTTGATATCAAAGTGAGCTTTGACTTGATCGTCATCAAATACGAGCTGAGCAAGAGTAGTCTTCCCCAGTCCGCCCATCCCAACAATTGGGACAACAGAAATATTGGCTTCACGGTTGGAATTCAGCAGCAGTTGAATGATATTCTTCTTGTCATCTTCCCTACCAACCACAATCGTTGGCGGGCAAGAATCAGTCTCTCTGGAAGGAAGACCTTCCTCATCGATAGCATGAACTTCCAGGTCCAAGGTCTCCTTGTCATTGGATATATCGTCAAGTTTCTCCCTAATATCCTTGATAGCATGAGCCATCTTAAGATCGTACCATAGTTGTTGAGGAAGTGAGGAGAACAGAAAGCATACCAAACTAGAACAAGTCGTTGCTGATGTCCTGCTCCTGCCACTAGTATCATCATCTGCTACAGCTGCCGCTAGCAAGGTCTTCCTACGGGCCTCGGAGGCAAGGTCGTCAAGCAGATCATCAGCATCGTACATTACATCGGATAGCTTCTCGAGCCAGTCTTTGACTTGGTGGTTGTGGAACTGCTTCTTTTCTGCATCACGGAGCACAGCCTGGATTCTGGAGACGGTGCCCTTCAGTTTCTGGAGCTCACGTCTGAAATTCCAGAGGAGTCCAATCTGCTCCAAGGCCAAGTCGGTTGCCTTGCCGAGGATTTGTTTAGCAAGAGGGATCAGAATGGTTTCCGCAGCCATCTTAGGGAAATCCAGGCAGAAGAAACAGTGGAGCTGGAGCAAGAGAAAAGGGATCAGGATGAGAAAATTGAAGAGTTATGAACGAAGGAATCTCCAAAGTCCAACCCAGATCAAAATGTCAACGACATTTCCAAAGGTTCATCCTACCTAATCAATATTATATTGTAATCTCCCACCTCATGTGATAGCATAGCAGAGCAATTGAATCATTCGATGAAAACAACTTTTATTCATTAAAAAAAGACTTGGGCAGAAGACCATTTACCGAATATTCAAATACCTGATCATGTGAATCCGGCAAGCAAGCTGGCCTCCACTAACGAACCAATGATGTTAAGTCATTGTGAAATGCTTTAAAAATGACTCCAGTGGTGGCGCTGGGGGCAGGAATCATAAGGAATGCTAGACCTAGAACCTAAAAAGGTCTTCAGCGTCAACAACTCAATTGAAAACGACTTGGCAATTTGGCTTTCATTCGGTGGAATAATGCTTTCCTAATCATGTGATAATGTAAACTAATAATGCCTGAGAAGATAACTTATTCAAAGACTTCGACAAAGAAATGCTTACAGTGGATTGACAATTACCGAATGCTTATTGTATTCTCTGGTTGATCTGATCTATTCTCTTTCTTTCCTGAATCCCGATGGAAGGGATGAGAACTCCTGAATGAACGAGTGTAAATTTGTTGAAAGCAATATCCGGGAGCTTAGAACTGGCACCAAACATCGAAGCGGTCAAGACTTAAACAGAAAGCCGCCGGCGGTGAGTTCTGCAGCCGCCATTAGTGGATTCCATTATCAGCTTATGCCCTTAGGTGAAACCATAACAAGAAGAGTAATAACTGGGGAGTGGAGACTCAGACAAGAAGGGAGATATATATAGAGGACTAGAGTTCTTACTTTTTGTTTTTCCTTTTCTGTCAGATTGAGTTGGCACCAGTAAAAGGGTGCAGCTCTCAACTGGACTAGCTGTCGACAAGGAAAATCTGAGGCAACTAATCAAGTAACTTCTCACAAAATTCAAGCATTTCGATTCCAAAGAACCACCAGAAACAAGTCTCAATATAACACTGAAATTCATTCTATAAAAAAAGCGGGCACTTATATTACTGTACTCGATCAAATGAATGGTAATAAGCCAATGAGTTTCATCAGTTACTACATCAAAAAGGTGGAACTCAATTTTGTCCAAGCATCATAAGCAGAACTTGACATTATCCACCAAAATTTGCACGTCTATGATTTTCTATATATGCAGATAAAACAAGGAACAAAAACAGGAACAAAAACTCAACAGAGAACTAGACAATAGCTTAGTGACTCTCTATCTAGTTCCTTCTACCTCTTCAGTTTAATTGGAAGGGATGACTGTCATGTCCCACTTCATTTCCTTAGACACTTCGATAAAGGCAGCATGATGATGTTCATCTATTTTTTTCTACCTCTGCTTCGATCGGAGGAAACAACCGCCCACCCATCTGACCTCCATCTGACCTACAATCGTCATCTTTTGCAGCCTAACCCAGCATGAAGAAAGCAGCATCAACACAAACCACTACCAAGCATTAATGAAAACCCAACTTGAAATTCTTAACAGGGCTGGCCCTGCTCTACTCAACTTCTCCACAGAGCTGTGAGCACCTTCCAAAAACTCCTCGTGCATAATCATCTATTTCTTTGCTGCCAACACACAGAACTTCTCAGCTAGATTAAGCATAATAGATAAAGGAAATCCTGTATCAACAGAAATCCAAGTTTTAGTTGCCTCCTCAACGCTGCCATCTTCAATCTTGCAACTGAGAGAAAGCATTCCCTTTGCCAAGAATGTTCTCTACACCATTGATGTAAAGCAGCTCAGCTGGATTCAAGAAACATGAACATGCTTTTAATAAGCAGACAGTAAGACTGCAAAATGATCGGGTTTCTACCGTCATAAAGTAAGGCCATACAAAGAGGGCAAACAAATTGTAATGGGAGCTATACCCTAATAACTTGATGATATTGAAAAATTGTTCCTGCTAGCAGTAGTTTTTGCGCTGAGAAGCATCTTATACGAGATGTCATTGCCTAATTTGTTAATTATCACAAGTAAAAGCAGGCGATTTTATTGTTTAATGCTGAAAAGCAGTTTGAAGGTTTTCTGCCCTCGGAAAGGAAAGCACAAAAAGAGCAGGAAAAGAAGTAAATAGAGAACTAACTGTACAATAAGTCAAGGATAGCATAGTGATTTTTTAAGGACATCTGTTCCTTCTAGCATCAGTTTTTTACTGTCCTTATTACACACCTAATGAAAGAAGCACGGCTCTAAGCCTGAACGATTAAGTGCTAATCAAACACAAATTGAAGGCAGATTGCTTAGTTCTTAAAAAATAGAACTGAGTTGATATAGAAGCGCCCACCTTGCCAAAGAGACGTTATTTTTCAATAAATTAACTGGAATTTGTTGATGAGTTCCCGGTTGCAGTCCCCTGCTGCACTTCTCAACAGCTCAATGGAGCAGTAATCATTTTACATGCATTAAAGATAGAGCAGTCTCCTACCATTGCAAGAAGCCGAAGTCCCCTGCAGAGATTGAACATATAGAAGAGGGGAATGAGCAACTAGCAAAACGTAAAGTCATTGTAGACCATTAGCCCCTAACCGCTGGGGTAGAAAAAGGCAAGGAAAGGGAATAAGCTGGTTCTAATAAGTAAAAAGCTAGTGAACTCCAACCTGGATCCTGGAATGTATCTTCGTACAGTCCTAGTAGTTCTATGTTGGGTATATGGGAAATGTTGGGCCAATCTTCACCATCTCCCTTAATGCATCGCTCTTGCAACTGGCTACACCCTTTAATTATCAATGTTTGTAAAGAGGTGAGGCGTCGCATCGCTGGAGGTAAAGATGCAAATCTTGAACACTTCCAAATCGTCAACTCTTGGAGAGAAGTGAGGTTTGGAAGGCCTTCTGCTGGTAGGGCTTCCAGCTCATCCATCTCTCGGAGTCTCAAATATGTCAACTTAGAGAGAGGAGCGACAGTTATCGTACTCAGCAAAGAAGAAGCAACAGAGGGAGTGGTTGTCGATATTGATGTTCTGGTAGTAGAATGTTGCTGAGAGTCATAATGATGAGCAGCTACAACCATTGCTTTCATCTTCATTGTTCGCACAAGTGCCTCTGCACCGGTTTCAGTCAACACCAACTCACCTTCAAGGGTTGGAAACAGGGGCATCTGGGTTAGGTTCGGGCAGTTTTCTATTTTCAAGCTCGAAAGACAAGGGAAATGGGGCCATTCCTCATCCCCCTCCTTCGTTAAAGGGTCATAGTAATAATAATCATCATCACTGCCATCATTATTCCCATTCTTCTTCTTCCACCAACATCCCTTCAACTCCCGGCAAAACTCAATAGTTAGCTCCTTCAAAGATGAGAGATTATGCAAGGGGGGCAGGAACTCTATCATCACACACCCCCCTATTCTTATCTTAGTCAGGCTCATACTGGAACACAATGAACTTGGTAGCTTCACACCTAGGGGACAATTCTTCTTCTTTTTATTGTAACCTAGGCTACAATCCGTAACACATAACTCTTGAAGAGAATTGAGACATTCGCTGGAAATATATTCAAGATCATCCATTGCTTCTAATTTCAACTTTGTCAGCTTAGGTAGTGGGTGGACCATGGGAGATGAATTCTGTGGGCCAATTCTGTGGGCCGAGGCCGGCCGGGGGAGCGGGCAGGGGAGAACGGTCCGCGCCAGTCTTCAGTGGGCCGGGCCTGCTTCCTGCTCCTACGGCCCAAGAGATTGCGGAGGCCCGCGGAAAGAAGAAGGTGATGGAGTTCGAAGAATTGGGTCCGGACTATGAGGAGATGAGTTTTACGGACCAGGAAGAGTGGGGGATGGGCCCTGGGCCCGATCAGAATTGGGTGGCTGAACCCATGATGGACCAAACCGGTCGGCCGGTCGGGTCAATGGCCGGTCGAACCAGCTCCGATCGAACCAGGATTGGTCGAACCGAGATGGGCCTGCCCGAACCGGGTCGAACCCGGGCGCTTTCCGAGGGGCAGCGGCTGGTATGGGTCGGGAGGCAGGCCCGGACGCGAGAGGTCAGATCCCGAGACCGGTTACCCGCCCTGGGGCACTCCACGGGCCGATGGCGAGCGACGGGGGCGCAGGATGGAAGAGGGACAAGGGTCCGGAGCCAAGCCTGGCGGCGGGGAGGAATATCAGCAGGAGATGGCCGACTGGGCCTACTTGGAGAGGCAGAACGCGGGACCCGAGTACCAACACTACGGGTCGGGTCACTCGATGCAGCCATCTGGTGGTAACAGCTACGGATACAGCAACCCTCTGTATGATTATGAGGATGAACTGGTGTTCAGAGCCAAACCCCCGGTTATTGAGTTTCCAAAATTTGATGGCACTCGTGATGTGGGATTATGGTTGTATGCGGCGGAGAGGTGGTTTAGGAACCACCCGATCAGGGCAAAAAGGAAGGCGCATCTGGCGTTCTTCTATTTGGAAGGGGATGCCCTCCAGTGGTGGGAGTGGACTGAGCGGGCGTATGCTCCAGTGGTGATGAGAGATATACTGTGGGACATCAGTGCGCCAAGAGCCACTTAATGCTGCTAGTCGGGAATTGGGAAGATGAAGGCGAGGAGCTGGAGCTGGGAGCGGAAGAAGGGGAAAAGAAGGAGGCCGACAAGACCGATGGCCCACCTTGAGGGCAAGGTGGGTTTCAAGGGGGATGGATTGTGAGAAACATAATTGTTGGGAGTCTATTTGTTATTTGCATATTATTCGGATATTGTGTCAGGGTGGAAATTATGAGGGTTAATTCGGTTAGGTTAATTATTCGGGTAGTCAACATAAATTAGTTGGTTTATATAAATAGGATGTTATGTTAGGTCAAGGGCAAGCAATACTACAGAAATTGTTCCCAACTCTCTCTCTCTCTACCTCACCTTGGGCGACCCCTTCCCCTCCTCTCACCATCGGCGGCTTCCCACCTCGGGAACCTAATTCTTCTCTCTTCCTCACCCAAATTCCCAATTCTTTCTCACCTAAATTCCCAATCCCTAGTTCGTTCAATCCCTTCGCACGCTTAGATTCGTGGTTCTCACAAACCACTTGGGAAACTTCATGACTCCATAATAAGCACCACTTACAACCAATTTCTTCGGATAAGGGTGCGGGCAGATTATTTCCAAAATCTCTTGTTCATCAGCAGATGTAAAAGTAATACCAGAGCCTCGGCTGTATTCTAAGACAAGGGATTTAAGATGTTGTTTCTCCTTCAAGACATAAACGTCTTTGCCCGGAGACTCAGCGTTGCCCGGATAATCAACTTTCCACGCAAGGCATTCAATCCGTTCAACTCATCCAACCCTGCCCCGATCCTTTTGTCATTACTACCACTGCTCCTACTGCCCACCATAAAAGTTGGTAAAGTTTGAAGGGACTTCAACTCCCCAATCCCTTTTGGCATATGGCTGAAACAATCCAACTGATCAGGGTCGAAGATAAGATGCTTCAAATTAACAAGCTTCTTAATATCCTTTGGTAGCTCTTTTAGCAAGTGGCAACCACTGATGTTAAGCACTTGTAGATTAACTAATAAGTTGGTAACTGATTCTGGAAGCATTTCCATTCCATAGCAATCGACACCAAGATATCTCAAATGCTTCAGCTTATCAACAAAATGCAACATGGAAGCATCCAAGGCTGAACCTTCTTCACTATCTGAGTCTGAAAATTCTGAATATTCTTCAGCTGTTGCCAATACTCGCAAGCATAGTAAGTTGTAAAAGACTTGTTCGAGTTCTTCTCTTGAAAGAGACTTGAAACATATCAGAGTCCGCACCCTGCTTGCAGTTGCTAATCCTTCATTGTCAGCTTCTGTACCCTGATCATCATCACCACCTTCAAATAGTGCCAAGTGACGAGTCTTCGACGGAATATTTTTCAGAGCAGCTGAACTTGAACTCCTTGTAATCTTTTCTCTCGTTATTGAATCAACTAAGTCGTGCATCAGATCATGCATTCTGCATGTTGACATGTTTCCCAACTCATCAATCACCACCTCCTGGAAGAAAGACCTCCACCATAACGTTTTGAAGCAATCAAAGCCTTCATCTTCCGACTCAATGTACCTCTGTATCACCCAAAAATGAACCAACATCTGAATGTCAAATTCAAAACCCTTCGGGAACAACTTACAGTAAGCAAAGCAATTTTTCATATGGGGAGGAAGATGATTGAAGCTGAGTCGGAGGGCTAACATAATAGGATCATCTTCTTTAGTGATGCTTGAAAGGCCCTTTTGTAGAAAAGATGGCCACTCAGTTTTTGGATCTCTTGAATCTGCTAACACACCAGCTATGGTGCTCACAGCAAGAGGTACTCCATCACATTTCCTCAGTATCTGTTTACCAACTTCTTGTACTTGTCGGTCTCGAGGCACTTTTCTTTAGGGGTGTTCAAACGGTTTGGTTACCGTGGTAACCGTTTTAACCGGTACTATTTGGATAATTTGGTTTGGTTAATTTGGATATTTGGTTTGGTTTGGTTAAAGTTTTTAGCTTGTTTGGTTTAGGTGGTTTGGTTTGGTTTCAGACACTCCTAACCAGTCAAACCAAATTAACCAGTTAATTAATTAGTCATATATCTAACATATATTATATACACGTACTTAATACTTTGCATAACCACTCAAGAGTTAACGTTCATCCCTTTTAGACTCATATAAAATATAAATCTCAATATTGCTCATATAGTGTATATTTGTATATGTAAAGTGTAAACCACAACATATGGACGCCTAATTTAGATAAATTTCATACATTATGATGGATAAAAACTTGAAAGGAAGGTCATTTCCAGCCTATGATAATTGCTAAGAGACTAAGTCAATTTACACAAACACAACAATTCATTAACCCATACCATTCTCATAAAAAAAATTAGGTGAATACTTCTATACTAATCGTAAGATAATTGTCTTAGTTACATGTATTTTTGTTAAGGGTCAACTATACCTACGTGTTGATTGTTATGTTTTATTCATTATATAAATTGCGAATTGTTGCATTAACTGGAAAATTTTCATCATCAATGATAATGTGATTTTATATTGGTTAATCTGGTTAACCAATTAACCAAACCGATTAAACTTTAGTTTGGTTAATTTGGTTGTTGTATTAGTTTGGACGGTTTGGTTAAGATATTGTATTCCATGGTTAATGAAATTTAGTCTTTTTTGGTTTGGTTATAATCATGGTAACCATTTGAACACCCCTACTTTTCTTGGCATTATTTTTTCACCAATAAATTCCAACACTCTTCTTCTGACAAGCCTCTCAACTGATAAGGAGCCACGATGGTAATACTTATTTCCGAGTTTAGAGCTCCGGCTCCAACCTCCGCCACTTTTGTGGATCGAGTAGTTAACATCACTTTGCTTCCAAGAGCACCAACTGTCAAATATTTTCCCAAAGCTTCCCAACTTTGGTTGGTCTCCTCCCAAACATCGTCCAATACAAACAAAAACCTTTTGCCTTCTATAATTTTTCGGAGTTGAGCTTGCAAATGATCTAACTCAGGTCCCACCTGACTTTCATGATCTATTGATCGTAGTATTTTTCCAAGAATCAATTTGACATCAAAACTCTGTGAAACATAGACCCAAGCTTTAATGTCAAAGTAAGCTTGAACTTGGGCGTCATCAAATATAAGTTGAGAAAGAGTGGTCTTCCCCAGCCCACCCATGCCAACAATGGGGATGACGGAAATGTTGGCTTCACGATTGGAATTCAGAAGAAGCTGAATGACATTCTTCTTGTCATCTTCCCTCCCAACCACGATTTTGGGTGGGCAAGAATCAGTCTCTCTGGAAGGAGGAGCTTCCTCAGTACGAACCTCCAGCTGTAAGCTATCCTTGTCTTTCGATATATCATCAAGCTTCATCCTAATAGCCTTGATAGCATGAGCCATCTTAAGATCGTACGCCAATTGTTTGGGAAGTGAGGAGAACAGAAAGCAGACCAAACTCCAACAATTAGTTGTTGTCGTTCTTCTCCTGTCACCATCACCATTAGCTGCTGCTGCTGCTGCTGCTAGAATGGCTTTCTTGCGAGCCTCAGTAGCAATATCATCGAGCATGTCCTCAGCATCATACATGATATCAGAGAGCTTCTCAAGCCAATCTTTCACTTGATGATTGTGGTGCTGCTTCTCTTCTGCATCACGAAGCACGGCCTGGATTCTGGAGATGGTGTCCTTCAGTTTCTGAAGCTCACGTCTGAAATTCCACAAGAGTCCAACCTGCTCCAAGGCTAAGTCAGCTGCCTTGCCAAGGATTTGTTTGGCGACAGGGATTAGAATGGTTTCAGCCATCTCAGGGAAATGAAGCAAAATACGGAAAACAGGAGAGCTATTGCAAGAGCAAATGAAGAGTGGTAAAAGCAAGGGGAAAGAGGGGAGCAAAGGAAAATCAAGGGGGTTTTTTTTCTGTCTAATTTTTGGAACGAGAGCAATGGGTGAAAGAAAAGGAAGAACAGGGGAGCAAGAGCAAGGGAAAAGAGGGCAGCAAAGGGAGCAAGAACAAATGCAAACCCAGACTCAGAAAGCAAGGAAATCAAGGGAGCAAGATGCCACAAAGAACGAGTGAGCAAGAGAGGCGATGATGGTTTCTGAGGAGGTTTCACAGATTGGCAACCAACCTAATTGTAAATGTCAACGCAAGTGCAAATGGGAAAGTGAAGATGATCCATCATCGTACAAAATCAAAATGATTCTATATTCCACCATCATGTGATTGCAAGTTAATCCCATTGAATATTAAACCTAGAAGGGGCTCTGTGAAATGCTAAATCCTGCCTCCAAGTGGGCTATGATCACCATGTGCACACCTTCTTCGATTCCACCAACTAGAACAACAAACCCAGTTGAGTTGACCACTAATCGTGCACATGGTATTGCGCTGCTGGGTCGCGCATTTTTTTGTAATTAAAGACTTCGAGTTTAGATGCAAACCAAACCGGTTAATCGATTTACAAAGACTTCGAGAAATGTCAAGTCGAAGAGGGAGAAGAAGAAGAAGAAGAAGAAGAAGACTGTTACCGACTGTTTTGAAGCTTCCTGGTCATGTCGATTGTCGAACCACCACCGCACGGCGCAGAAACTGTCCATGGAATCTTGAGCCTGATGGCCCGCCCAGCAATCGGAGTCGAAGGGTTCCCACTCCAGGATTCGCCGCCCATGTCCATAACGGAAGTGGAAGAACTGCCGGTTACTCGACCTCCGAGGCTCCGACTTCGCGTTAGATGCCGCCGGTGAACTGCCAAAGAAGTGAGAGGAAGAAGAAGAAGAAGGAAGATCTTTAAAAAAGTCAAACTATTGGATCACGGGCTCACGACCGATGTGAGAATTGGGCTGGGCCTGGAGCAAAAAATATTTGCATAATTGAATTTGAGTTTGGATTATCTCGCGCCCTGGATTTGATGGGTATTGCTCCAGCCTGTAGATTGGAGTACTTCGAGCCAAAATTTGATGGGTCTGCAAAACCAAGTTAGGCATTTGTATTATCTTAACTTTGATTATGTTGTTGATGACGCACGTCAGCCACAGCATGTGGAAGTCAAGATATAACCAAAGCTTGACTCTAAGGGGTGGTTTGCTTCTAGGATTTTAGAAAATGAGGGTTTATGATAAAACCTTTGAATTTTGGATATGAGGAATTATGTTGGATTTTTGAAACTTCCATGTTTATTGGTAGGATTTGGTAATGGATTTTAGTAGGTTGGAATTATGGCTTGATGGGGAAATTACTTTCTCATCCTTAATGAACCATTTTTTACTTTACTTTTATTTTGAATGTGTTTTGTGTATGCATGAAGAATTAGCATATGTAAAAATGGCCAGTAGCAGCATCCATAGTATTTGGCCATATTGTGTACACGCAAGAAGCCATAAAAACAAAAATGGAAACTCTCAACCCAAACCAATAATGTCGAAAGGAAAATCAAAGGGTTTGGATTGGATTATAGCAAAAAAGAGGATGAATGTCATAAACCAGTTGGTCCCAATAACTCGAGTTGTTGGGAGAAAGTTATGATGGATCTTATACAGGCCCATGTATGGTACTTAACCACTTCCTTATAGCATCACCCGTAAGTACCATACATGGGCCACCTATTTTTCTTATACCTCAATTGAGAATTAATATGTCGAACATTTCTACTACTACTCAATAAAATTTCATATGCATTAATAAACAAAATATAATAATAAATGAGTGAAGGAAATTATGCAACAGTCACGATTTTCATTCATACGAGTAAAAGAGTTGAATATGTGTCAAACTTCATCGTCTGACAAGACTGTTCGACAAAATCGTCAACTATGTACATTAATGGAGCTTTGAGTAACTTCATTTTGTTCGAGTTACAAACAAAGAACTACAAGGATGCTGATCCGGAAGTTTTCGTAACCCAATCATGTATGATGGAATTTATCAAGGATTTAATTTAAGCAATGTTTTAGAAATCGTACCCTATCGTTTGTTTCGGACTGGGAATGCCGGGTACCTGATGCCAAACGATAGGCGGTTTTAGCTGTATGAAACGGCTGGACTACAGTTAAGCCAAAATTTCAGTACCAAATACTCTATCACTAAATTTTCCTATATGACCTCCGGTATAGTTTCACGATATATTTAATTAAAAAAATTAGATTAAAATATTATTAAAAAATAACTTGATTTTTGGATAACTATGAGTTTAATTCATAGATAAAGCAAAACAATTAAGTAACTAACCTTTGTGATAACCAATTCGCAATTGCCTAATCCTTATTCGTTTAGGTTTCACATTCCTTGTCCTACAAGTACAAGGATTACCCTATAGTACTAATCCTTTTTCCTAATGGAATATTGATCATCATAACACTACTATAAATACAAAACCAACTGAAGTAGTAAACTAACGAACCACACTTGAAGCGATACATCAAAGAACCGCCATGGACGGCCTAATCCCAATGGCGTATCGTGCCCTCAAGAGCTACAAAGCTCATCGCGGCTACAAGTGCCTCTCCACCGCCGCCGCCGATGATCTCCACGACAGCGCCGACAACAACACCTCCTCCAGCAAGAGAGTTGGGTTCTTCGACAACCGTGAGCAAAAGCTACTCGAAGAAGGGCGTCGCCGCCGACAGAGCTGCCAGGAAGCAGCCACAGGAGATCCGGCAGAAGCGTAATAGAGAGCAGTCGTTGTTCGTTCCATCGATGTAGAGGTTAGCGAAAAGAGCTAAACCCAGCAAAAAAAAAAAAAAAAACGTAATAAAAGAAAGAACTTGGAGAGTCTTGCACTCTCCCGTGGACTAGTCCCGATTTCTTTCGGGGAAACCACGTAAAAATCGTGTGTCTCGTGTTTGTTTATGTTTTCCGTATTTTTCGATTTTCGTCGGTTCGATATAATTAACATGGGGGAGTGGAAATAGTTGAGCCTCCACAACATGATTAAATGAGTCACTTATCTGTTAATCATTTCTTTGGTGGGTTTAGCTTGCATTGAGCTTTGCAGGAAGTGATTAATTATCCCTCATAATAAATACCTTTGCATGGTCTGGTTCGGTTTTGGTCTCGCCCATTATATTGTACAAAATATAAAGCTGCTGCTATACCGTCAATTCTCGTGCATACGAATGTGTCATTGGTTGATAGAACGCGTTAAAAGTTATTAACGGGCAAGTTAATTACCGTTCATGCGTGATAGTGATAATAATTTTTCCCCTACTTTCACTGTCAGACGTGATTATATGTATGGGTAAGATTAGTGTACTCCAGACCTATATTATATCAAAATAGTGCGTACCGATGATCTAATTTAATGTTGATTATTAATCTCTAATAAAATTACTTATTTAATAAAATTTACAATTACTAACTGCACCCACTTAAATAATTGTACATAACGTATAATCCCCAATAAATCTTATCTTGTATTACAAGTACATAACACTTCATTTCTTTTAATCATGTCTTTACGCACCTACATGCATTTTGTATTGTTCTACATTAAAATTTGTTTCACTTCTTCTACCATTAAGTCCAGACCTCTTATCCGAAGGTTCCATTTGAGACAAACTTCGGCGGCTCGAAGAGTGGATCCCGATGGAAGAATTTTAGTTATCTATGGATTAGATTTCAGTTGTTCCTAATCAATTGCTTGGTTATTTCAGTTGTCAAATCCTTGATGTTTAAAATTTGGGTGCCAAATCCATCACCCAAATTCGGCAAACAAACAATAAATTTTAATATCTACTTTCTTTCTTTTTTTCTTTCCTCTTTCGTCTTGAGTGCACCTCTTGTTGTACCTTAAACCTTTTCTGTTCTTTACTTTATTTTATTTCTCATCATTATATAAAAAAAATATTATAAATTATACATGGCATATGACAAGGTATATTTAACTATAATTAACCTCATGTTATCAAATCTAATTAGAATTACTAATAATAGGAAGGTCATGTCCTTCCAAATTCAAACTACTACTAGGATATTCTCAAAATTTACAAGTACAACCGTACAAGGCACCCCTAAAGGACCAAGGATCCACCTCTGCCTCAAGCTCATACTACTACTCGGAATTCATTATATTTCCCTAAATTTTAGGGGTGCCTACTGTCTCGGACACTCCTAAAGACCCCTGGGTCTGCCCTGCTGGGAGTAGCCAACCGTTAGGGACCGTTTGCTTCACGAGCTGCGTGATGGATTTGGATATAAAATATAATCCATCGTGTACTTGAAGGAAATCTATTGTTTGCTTGCAATTTTTTGAGGGACCACATTTGTGGAGTCTATGGATTTTGAATGCCCGGATTCAAAACCAACTCACAAGAACAAACGCAGACTGCAGCTACTAGGGTTTTTGATGAAGATATCTCAAACCTTGAGGTATTCGTTTTTCTGTTTTTTCACATATATATATATATACTAGGTGGCGATGCCGCGACTTGTCGCGGGGCGGAGATTGCCTATTGGCTTGTATTAGGTGGCCCGTTATAGTGTTTTGTTAGTATAATTAGTCTAAAATTATTATTTTGTTAGCAGTTTTGTTAGTAATATTGACTGAGAAGTGATATATGGCGGTTAGAGGTGGCATTTGGATCGGATTCGTGGATTCGTGGATCCATGGATCAAATGGATTGGATCCAATGGATTAGTGGATTCATGGGTTGGATTCAATGGATTGGTGGATTGATCCATGAATCCAAATAACATCAAAGGCTTGGACCAAAATGTAAATTTTGAAAAGTTTAGGTACTAAAATGTCATAATGAAAAATTTTAGGTACCAAAATGTAATTTTCCAATGATATTTTTCGTATAAAAAT